ATAATTATATTTTAAATAATAGTGATGCATATAATATCCTTCAAATTGGAAGTACTTACTCAGTTGTGCTATCAATGTATTACTCGTGAATGTAGGAATCATCCGTGATTGCACCAAATAGCAGCACTGCACAACATTAACTTCATATTCATTAATTTATATTAATATATAATTTATAATTTTTAATTTATATAATATATAATTTTTTTATTTTCAATTAAAAAAGAATTAGATGAGAAGAATGTAGTCGATTTATTTTATTCGTCAGAATAAAATAAATCTACATTAGCAGGAATTAAAAATTAAATTTCTTCCTCTATTTTTCTCGAAGTACAAAAGGAAAGGTATATTATCATTCGTAAAGTTAATTTTTAAGTATAAAATCGAATAATAATGATATAAATTTTGTTTCTAAAAACAATTATTTTCATGACAGAGGTAGTCGAATCTTACATTAAGAAACATGTAAATAATTGATTCTATTCCAGTTGGATTTTAAGTGAGTACAATAACTAATAATATATATATATATAATATAATATAATATAATATAATATAATATAATTATATATATATGATATATATATTTCTAATAAAATATAGATGTATTAAAACTATAATTGTATTATTATTAATCTTATTGTTGTTTAATTATCGTTGTTAGATCATTTGGTAATAAGGTATAAAATACATTTTAATGTTATCTCAGAACAGTTGGTGCTGTTTCAAATATCCAAGTATCGTTCAAATTTTTTCGAGTTAAAACAGAATCTATAAATATACAAGCATTCTGTTTCAAACTAATTCTATAATTCATACATGAATCTTTAGATGATTTATTAAATTTTCATATATGTATAGCTTATTAATTCGGGTAAAAGAGATATTTTAATTCTCAATAATACTGTTGATAAGCGTAAATAAAATTTTGAATAGAAAAACTTTGTTTCTAAAATCGATTTCTGACTAGTTTTTAGATCATATAAATAAAATTATTGTCTATTTTTAAAATAAGTGACAGTTTTTATCTTTAAAATAAAAATTTTAGATTAGTTCAAATTTATATCTCCAATTCTATTGTCTGTATTAAATATCATTGTGATTCATAACTGACTCTTAATTACTTAACTTATCTGTACAAAAACATTACTTCTAGAAGTTTATTGAATTTACACACGTGTGAATATAAACAGAAACTTAAATAGTAATTTTTAGCTTATAGCTTCCTTTTCCATTTTATATTAGTTATTTAAGTTCAAAGTAGATCTATATTGCCCTTTACCAATTATTTGAATTTCTTTACCTTATAAATATATATTTAAAATATTACTTTTTTAACTACAAATATTGAACAATGTATATTAAATAGTATACACCTACTTGAACTTAACTTTGTTATAGGTTGTTATCATAAGTCATAAGTAATAAGTAAAGAAGAAGTCAGATTTTGTTGGATAAATTAATGCCTAAAGAACTTTTACCGAAAAAGGTTGTACTGATAAAATGATAATTGAAAACATATTTGTTTAACAAAGTTTTTTCTTAACTAATATAAAATTAATTTTAAAAATTGTCTCCACTTATTAGGACAATGAAATTCACCAGTAATGAAAAACATTTAGAAATATAATATTATTTTATAGGAAATGTATATATATTACAACAATTCCGAAAAGATTTCTTAAATATCTAAAAACTCATTACAACATTTTTTTTCATATTGAGATTAGTTTTTGAAGATAGAAAGAACTAAATAAATTAAGAACAACTTTAGAAGCATTAGAATGGTAATGAGTTTAGTCGATATTTAATGTTTTCTTAATTTTTATTCGAATTTTAATATAATTATAATTATTTACAATATTAGTTAGTATACAATTTTATCGGTATAATTCATTTAATTAAAAACAATTGTGTATTCATTTTTAGTTATGACATGGATTTAAAAAAGTAATCGTTGATTTAATTTTTAATTATTAGTATTATTAATGGTTAATGTTATGAATATTATAGAAATTGATAAATTTATGTAACTAGTAGAATTTTTTTTCTTTTTTGATTGGTTTAATTTTAATAGTTTATTAATTGAATTATTTTTTAGTATTTCTGATCAGTAGTGATATAAAAGATAGATTTTATTAAAATGATAATTAGACCCATTTATTTTAATTACATTTATACAGCTGAAAATTCTCCACTGACAAATTTTTTATTAATATATTGTTGAGAGAATTGATAAAAGTATATTCAAATATTTATTTACATATTACATTATATTTAAAATATAAATGTTTGTACTTTTAAGAAAATATTGAATATGTAATAAATGTATATTAATATTTGATCTTCAAATTTACGAAGTTGAAGCGTGTTCCTATAGTAGGATTATAATAAACTATATTGAGTTCGAAAATCTTTAATGTGAAGTTTGGTGTGTCAAACGAAAATACGAAATTGAAAATTGTTTAAATATCAATTATAAGTAACTGTAATATATAAACAATATTATTATTTATATATAGTATAAATTCATCATAAAATAAGGGTCACTCAGATATCTGGTATCATGGTTTCACTGAAATACAAATTTATGATCTCATAAGCATTTTATTATTTGTAGGTAAATATTTCTTTCACTGAAGTAAAGATCACCAATAAATGTTTATACTTTAAGGCAAACTAAGCATTACTATATTACTATTTTGTAAATATAAAATTCTTCTCATTTTTTACAATTTACAAAGTTATATGCTTATTAAAAAAAAGTTTTTACTTTCAAATTTTATATTTATTAGTAATATAATTATAAAACTCAATTTATATATGGTATAGCATAGACACTACCATATTTTAAATGCTTTTTATGAAACACATTATTAACATTTTAGTTAATATTTATTTATATTCAATACTTATTTTATGGAATAATTTTATGTAATAATTGCAGTTTGTAATTTAACTTATATTTAAAGTAATAAAGCAATTTTATGAATTAGTTCTAAAATACTAAAAAAATTCAAAATGGATTTATATTATGCATTATTTCAGTAGTTATATTTAATAATAATTTTTAAGTAATTTATTCTGATAATAATAATTATATAATATAATTACTAATTTATTTCAATTATTTACTTTTTTTCAAAATTGATTCAATTTTTATATGAAATTGATGTAAAAAATATGAATCACAAAATGTTTTGTAATATTTCATAACTTGATATATGGAGCCTTTATTACATTTTTACATTATTTGCTATATATAAATTTTCTTATAAATTGTCGTATTATTAATTATATACAATTTTATAATATAATTTGACGTAATATTAATTATATAATATTAATATCAGTAAGAATAATATTAGATAGATTACCTAGTAATATACTTTATATTATTTACAATCAAGACCACCATTCTATTCGTGCAAATTGATATACATTTTTAATAATAATGATAGCTTTATAATAATAGTTTGGATTAGTTACTTTGATAAGATCTATATTCCTATTATATTATTTTATAAATTAACTAGATATTATAACAAAATATTATACGTAATAAAATGTATTAAAAAAATGTATAAGTAATTTAATAAACAATAATCATAAATATTGTAAGTACTTAAAGTCAACAAAATATTTTATATTTTTTATTTTATATGTCAATTATTATTTTTATAATTATATTTTATAATTTTTTACATGTAATTTAAGAAAAAAAAAAGTATTATTATGCATGCTTGTCAATTAATATAAATTTTTTGTTTTATAGATTAGTATTATAAAATTGTTATCATGTTTATTATTTACATATATAAAGAATGTTATATATGTACAATGATACTAATGTAATGAATATGCACCTTAGATATTAAAATTTGTTAACCAAACAACTGTATATAATGATAAGAAAGTTAAAAAATGTTTAACGTACAAATTTTTACGTATGACGTAATACAATTTAACTCTTCGGTATCTAATTACACTCTTCATGTAATGGTACAGCAAATAAGATCATATATAGTTCTTTTATTTGGGTTTATATTTAAATAAATATATACTGACTTTGTCTTCTATATAAGAATATTTAAAAAAAATGTTTTAATATAATATTTAAAATGAATTTATTCTATAATTTTTAGAAAATATAAATTAGTTTCATGTCATTATTACCTGAGTTTATTAAAAAAAAAAAAAAAAAAAAACAGTCTAATATATTATATATTACAGCTAAATGTTAACATGATTAGTATTTTTAAACATAATGTAAATAAAATATAATAAATATCCACAAGAATATTAACTAGAAACATAAAAAAATTTATTATAATATAAAACATACTTTCCTAATAATTTTAGAAATATTTTATAAAAATTTGTTTTAAAACTTTTATAAATATTGTATAAGATAATGTCTAATAGAGTACAACTAGTTATAGTAGTATAGTTGTAATGGAAGTAGACATATTAAACAATTTTTGAAGCTAAAATATTTCTCATTATTTGTTATATTCGACTTATTATCTATTATTTATTATTTTAAGTAATAACTTAAAGTAAAAATTAACGTTGTAATAATAATTGAAATTATTTATTTTCTCAACTTCATACAGAGCGTAACTTTAATATGGGTTAAACTTTAAACGTAAAATTATTTAAATTATAATTAAACATAATATAAATAGAATATTGTTTACTTTAATAAATAACGTTTACTTATCTCTAATATATAGTACATTGTTAAAATCGTAATTAAATAAGATTTATTTAAAATAATAACCTTAAATTTAACAGTATACAAAATTTGAATAAAGTAGTATAATAGTGCAACTTGTTTTACGCTTTAACTAGATTGACATATGATTAAGTGTACTTAAGTTTCTTCCAAAATACTAATATGTTATATATTTGGGATGATAAGAAATAGATGATAAACTATATAAGAAAATTATTTGCCTTATGTGTCAGCATTCAAGAACCATGAAAGAATTTGTGATAATTTTGGTTGGTTGTGCAACATTAATTCTTGCACAAGATCAAGAGGAATACATACCATCTATTTATGGGTTAGTTTCAAATGTTTGTTATTACTGCTTTAAAAGAATGAGTTTCGGATATTTTAAAATCTAGTAATAGGTATCATAGCAGAAAACATTTTATTACATTAAAAATATAAAGCCCATAATATTTAAATGAAATAAAGTATGGATTATACATACGTATTTTCTCTGAATAAATAAATAAGTAAAATAGCAATGCTTAGATATAATACAATCTTGAAAGATACAATAGTATATAATATTTAGCTATCATATACTAAAGATTTGATTCAAAATACCTTTTATCTTTTGATTATTTAAACAGTTACTACTTTATTATGATTTGGTATATGAAACTAATAGCATGCTTTTATTTAAGAACGTAAAGCCAAATAATACTAAACAAGTAAGAAATTATAATTTCTTTCATTATAATATATATTAAATATATTTAAGACTAATAATATTATGTATAATCTTATTCTCTAATCTATACAAAACAACATAGGTTTATTTATTAGTAATTCTGTTCCCATATCTAAAATATAATCAATTACAAATAATATAATTCTTGTAGTAATTGTAATAGTTAATTAATTCACAATAGTATATATACTTAATTGCCTAATATATTTTTGTATAAGGACTTCTAAATATATATATATATATATAAATTATAAATCTAATATTTCAAAAAATTTTGGTGCTTAACATTTATTTTTCTTGTCTCTTATATTCATAATCTTCAAAATATGCGTATGTTGTTTATAACTTATAAATCTAGAACCACTAATATTGTATTAAATTTGTCAAATTCTTTAAATTTTTCATTTTAGTAGTATAGATTATTCGAATTATTTATTTAATATTAATGTTTGCATATAGTTCTTTATAAACATATTTATAAAATATTATTGTTCGTCTTACAATAATCAAGATATAAAAAAATATATACTTCTATTTATTATGTATTTTTAATAATATTAAATTAATTTGTATATTAAGGAGCAATGGAATTTTTTAATTTATTTAAAGTCCAAATAGAAATTCTTTTTATTACTAAAGATGGGAATCATTATATTTATCTGTATATTTTTTATTAGAATGCAAATTCTTATTAAATGTTTGATTTGTATTAAATTTTTGTTGTATATATTTATTTTAAACTAAATAACCGATATTAATCAATGCAATACATGAATAATGAAGACCAAATTAAAAATATAATAAATTGAGCGATTGTATTTAAATCAGGTTTTCTTTCTATTCTATATACATTTTTGTTAGTGAATTAAAAAAAAATTTTAAATTGTCTATTTGTAAAATTTTCAGTTTCTTGGTAATATTTTATCTAATTATTTTATCTAATTTTATCTTATTTTATCTAATATATTAATAATAAGATAATCTTATTTTATTTAATATATTAATAATAAGGTAATCTTATTTTATCTAATAGTGTGCAAAAATTAAATTAAAATTTATTAATATTATACATAAATTCTGTAGATGAAAAATGAAAGTTATAATAGCGACAAAAAAATTATTTTAACAATTTATCGTTATTTCAATTTCATCTACAAAAATACTAATACAAATTAAGAAAATAAATATATCATTTCTTTATATTATTTTTAAATTATCTATTTTGTAATTAAGTCGATTATTTGTACATGAAATTTCAATGAAACATTGCAACATATGAATTTAATTTTTTTGTTGCTTTTACAATTTACTTAATATTTATAGTTGTCAATATTAGAGTATTAATGAATTTTATGTATTATATTTATATATATTAGTTATTATTTTTATATACTTTAATTATGGTACTCTTATACACATACACACATATATATATACGTGCGCGCGCGTATGTAAGGAATATATATATTTTAACTGCTTTCTCAATTACCGTTATATTTTAAATTACCATGTATTATTATTATCTAATTTTTTATCTATTAATTGAAACATTTAGAAGATAACAATGTTTAAAGATATATATTTACTATATTAGAACAGAAGCATCTGATAATCATAAGATTTTTATGTAATACTTTTCAAGTATCATAAAATTTGATATAAAGTTGAATTAAATTATATTTATTAATGCATTTTTTCTTCTTATTACGTAAAGTAATTTTAATGTTAGCAGTTCTGATTATATTTCAGTTTTCAACAAGATCTATTATTTTATCATGCAAAAATGCTTCTTACGCTTCATGTTTATGAGATTATTCATTTGGAAATTAAAAAATAGGAAGTTCTTTTTTTTATAGCTTACATTTTTCTTTTAATTTCTGTAATCTAAGTTTAAAGAGTTTAAAGTACAAGAAAAAAAATGTAAATTGTAAATTTTAAAAATGATATTTTAATACAAGTTTAGTTTTGATTAATTTTTTTTCTGCTATTTAATGTGTCTATATTTAAAATGGTTAACTATATATTTTTTTCATACGTGAAATTTATGTTGCTATAACGAATAGAATGTATAAGAATAAATTTTGGGAAAGAAGTTTCTCTTTATGAATTAACTAAATAGAATTTATTAAAACAACATGAATGGTTAAACAGCCGTGGCATTAACAGACCGTCGACGTATGACAGTAAATGCGGTATGGATGCAGGGAGAAAAAATGAGATATCGCTAACGCTAATCTGATACAAACTATTGACATTAGCTGCTCTAGTTTTCGGGTTTAATATATTGATATTGATATTAATATTGAAGTTTACGAGGTTCACAAGAATGGGTGAAGAATATGCTTCATTTACATACACACATTTACATTCATTTACAAATATGTTTGATACTTTTGAGATATTTGTGATGAAAAGGGTTGTAATGAATAGGTGGATTACAAGGATAATGAACAGCGATGGAATAATTAATGAAAAGAAAGTGTATCTTTCTTTCATAATAACTGCTACTGATATAATAAAACAAAAAAAAAATAAAATAAATCAATAGTGATAATTCTGAGAAAAACTTGTTTCTCCTAATTTGGTAATGTAGTTAGGATTGAATTACTAGATTCAATTATTTTGTTGTATGTAGCTATAAATTTTCGGAACTATAATCTGTCAATTAAGTTCATGATTGTGACTAAGGTTTCCCATAAAAGTCACGTATATAGTTGTAGATTTAAATGTATATTTATGATAATAATAAAATGTATAATAATAAAATGCTTTGAGAGATATTAATTTTGTATTTTTTGTTTAATTATAGATAATTGTGAACATTAAATGAATATATAAGTCTTATACAAAACATAATATTCAATAAATTACAAATAATTATTGCAATTTATTCTTACAGTTATAGTGAACTGAATATGTATTAAAATATTCTCGTTTCTCTAAATAAGGTTAATATAAATATATATTTGTAACTTTATAAAATCAATTTCGGAGTAGTTTTATAATTATAACTAATAGTTTAAAACAAGATTATTTACAAAAATAATATTATAAAAACTTAAAATGTATGCTTTACAAAGTAAATTAGTTAAAACATAATTTAAAAATAATTATTATATAATTATTGTATTGTATTGTATATATTCTATATATTGTATAATTATATATAATAAAAAAATTAAAAAAAAAAATTATAATTAAATTAATTAGTTAGTTTAAAGTCATATATATATATATATATATATATATATGTATATATGTATATAACTATCCGACAGAGAATATAAACTCACACCCTTTTTAATTTTTTCCTTCTAATTTGTTTGTTTAAGAAACGATCAGAAAAATTTATAAAAATAGTTTTCAACTTATATATTTTAGATTTTCTAATTAAGATAATTTTATTAGAATACTATAAGTATATTATATTATTTTTATTTTATGCACCTGTTATGTCACTTTCATAGACTTTTTTTTTAAATTTTATAATATTTCAATTTTTTCATTTAGGAAACAATACAAAATATTTAATATTTCTGAAAAATTAATTTTTTTATATAAAATAAATGCCAATGTATAACAACAATTATTAAAAACTAGTAGTGAATATATCTAATTTTTATCTATTTTTTATATATTTATTATTAATGAATTTTTCTGAACTGTATTTTTAATGATTGTTAGAGAAAATCCTTTTTTACAAATTAAATACACATGAAGAAATTAATTGCAGAGGAAATTAATTATATATTACGAAATTTTGTAATGTTTTTGCAAATTAATTTTAACAAAATTTTCATTGAGTAGTTTCTTCAATTTCATTAGATTTATTATTTGTAGTAAATTGCTAAATTAATAAATTGATTAGTACCTTTAGCAAGTGCTATTGTTGCGTATATCATGATTGTCAAAATGATTTTCTATATTATTTGAATCATTCTCTGATTTTGTAATTTCTCTACATAAATTGTTTAAAAAAGTTCGTTTTTTGATAATATATATATATATATATATATATATATATATATAATAAAATGTAACAACAAAGAATCTTTCGTAATTTTAATGTTAAGCCAATGAGCAACAAAGAATCTTTCGTAATTTTAATGTTAAGCCAATGAGCATTCCTCTTTTATAGAATATAATTAATATAATTGTATAAATAAATTTTCTTACTTATAATTTTTATGTATAATAATATTGTTACTATATAAATATCAATAATTATTATATAGTAATTAGAAAATTATAAATTACAAACAATTATTTTATAAAATTACCAATTTTTTAAATATCAATATCTATTAATATTTTTATTTATTGTATAAAATCTTTTTAATTAGGTGTTAGCTTTATTTCTTTTATAAATTAATAAATAATTTATGTTTATACTATGATTGTAAATATATATAAGTATAACTTATTTCAATAGTTTCGAAAACAATGTCCCGACAAATTGAATTTTACCAAAAAACCTTCATTCTACAAAATGTTTATGTTTGTTGATGAATTTGTTATGTGAAATTTTGGATTTTCAGAAATAGTGTACAATTCTTCGCAAATACAATAATTGTTTCTAATAAGTTCAATAGTTTTTCTGTTATGGATAATATTTTTTATATGATAAACAAAAAATTGATAAACTAATTTATAGTATAAAATATTTAAAAATTCGTTTCTCTTGTTTAATATTTTTATTTTATTTTATGCCATAATGTTTATAAAATATACATTTTTTGTACATTCTTCGTTCATTACTGATAATAATATTTTTAGATTGTTTGTTTTAAATAAATTTTATCTGTTATATCATTTACCATTTTAGCAATAATTAGTTCCATATCCATTTTAAACGATTATGCAATAAGTAATAAAGTATATTTTACATTTTAAAAATATATTTCGTTTTCCCTATTTGCAAATTTCATGAAAACAATTTTGTGTCAAGCAGTTAACTATATTTATTATTGATATATAAATGAATATATACAAATATAGTACTAAATTAAAAAGGAGATTTTAAATAAATTTAGATAACCACGCAGCTTTTTTTATACTTCACATATTGTATAATATGACTTGTTTAATATTGTAAATATTCATAAGATAAGAAAATTGATTTAATATATATATATATATATATATATATATATATATATATATATATATATATATATATATATATATATATATTTATTATTATTTATTATATTTAATTATATTTCATTTATTAACTATATTTAATTAAATTACTTATTTTAATTTTTAATTCGTCATTTTTTCCGCCAATAGAGTGGAAGTGCTATAAATTTAAATATGAAAATCTAATTTCGTAAGTCAATATTAACATATACGAACGAAATTATTGAAAATAATTTAACATACATTAAATATATCTATAAAAATAAATAGTGAGATAATTATTTTACAAATAAGATATTTATAATATGCTATTCACTTTTACAAATAAATTATATACATATTTTGAATAATACATGTATATTTATTAATATTTTATTTTCTAAATTACATGCGATTAAATAGACAAAAAATAGATTTATAAATATATTTCTGTTTTTATATTCATGGAATTAATTTATTGGTGTAGAATGCAAAGTCTGACGGTGTACTCTGATACGGATACTAAATTGAATGCCATCAAAACATATGTGGGACAACGTGGTTTCGATTTCTTAAAAATTACAAAATCACGGCAAATACCTATCGATGTTCTAGTCACTAAAGAACGTTTACAAGAATTCAAGAATACGCTACGTGCTAATAATATATCTTATAATATTACTATTGACGATGTTAGTGAAATTATTCATAAAAATAAAGAACAAACGGAACAACAAAATGGAAAGCGTGTGCGTCGTGCTCCCAGAAGTAGGATTAACTTGGAATCCTTTGCTACTTATACGCAGGTAAAATATATAGTTTCATTACTATACTATATTGTATTATATACTATATAGTATATTGTACTATAGTATATTGCTATAAATTATTATTTTAATTATATGTAAAGAAAATATTAGACATAATATTATTTAATTTCGCTATTGTGATAAATATTTTCAATTCATATTTATTATATATTTTTATTATTTTAAAATTCTGATGAATTTTTTAAAACATTACATTACCACACAGACTTAATATTTGTTTTGATAATAAAGTAAAAGATCTTATGATAATTTATTAGTATTAACGTTTTTAATTTATATGTGACTAGTACTTTAATAAATGCCACCAAACATTTGTGGAATAAGAAGTGGCAATACCCACTAAACACGTGTAACAGTAATTGAAATAGAATATTGTCTCCCATATACATTAAATTTTTGAAGTTGTATAATAGTTTTTGTCTCCAGTTTATTTATAATAAGATAATATGTTAAAAAATATATTTTCTAAGGCTTTCGAAACTAATCCCGAAAGAAGTAATGCTATTTCAATTATGTTGTATTTGTTACCCATCTACATATTTAACCTATTTTCCAATAAATGTATGAAAATATTACTATCATTGATAAAAATTTGTATAATTTTTCAGATCGTTTCATATGTTAACTTCCTGCAGAGTCGTTATGGAGAAATTGTAGAAGTATTTAGTATTGGAAAGAGCTACATGAATGTTGATATTATCGCGTTAAAAATTTCGTCTGGGACAGGCGATAAACCCGCTTTGTTAATTGAAGGTGGAAATCATGGTCGTGAGTGGATTTCAGTTTCATCTGCTCTTTATATAATGCAGCAGCTTATTGAGAATCCCAGGAATAGAGAAATCTTTGAAAATATAGATATTTTTATAATTCCTTGTCTCAACCCTGATGGCTATATGTATTCACATCAGTCGGATAGTGTAAGTTAAAACAAATAAATTATTTGTAAATAACTATAATAAATGTAAATGTAAACGAATATATATTTGTTTTCTCAATTAATAATACGTTAATATACTTTAATATTAGGATAATATTAGGATATATTAATTAAACATCTGAAATGGTAAGAAACTTTTTTCTTTCTTTGCAATTGTGTATTCCATAAGCACAGGCAACTTAACTTATTTCACATCATTAATATTAAATTTGTTAAATAGTATATAAATCCGTATTGTTTTTTTAATTTATTAATATCGGTCTTCTTATTTACATTATTAAATCATAAAAATTAATTTTTATTGAAATTAGAAAACGATTATTTTCATTTTTTATTTCTTAATGTTTAGTATTTATTTTTTATTTAATTGAAAAGAACAAGGCTTTTAAAAATATACTATTTTTAAATATACTGGCTATTTTTTCTATTATTTCTTTTTTTTTATTTTGAAATTAGAGAATTTAGAAATATCAATATATCAGTCCGTAATAATGTAACTGTAAATAAAATTTTAAATTACAATACTATTTTCTTAATATCTCAATTATATTATTTAGAGATTTTTTAATATATTCCATGAAATTAATTAATTTTTTTTAAATAGTATTTCTTTCAGAAACATTAACGACTATATTATTTATAGTTAATAAATTTTTTAATTATAGATATATATGCTCATTCATTTGTGTATTTACACTATACATCTACAATAATTAAATAAGATTCAATGAAATTTATTTAAATAGAAATTATGTAATTTGGATATAAATTTAATGTGATCTAAAGAAATAAAAGTTTATAAAATAAAAATAAACATAAGTGTAAAAAAATGTAAGAAAATATTTTATAAAAACAATTAAATAATTTTTTTTTAAATGTTAATTATATTCAAATAAAACAGCATACAGAAAACAAGGAATATGAGATTTCGCTATATACAGATAACAATTTTTTCGATTATACAGAATATTGAAAATCGTGGAGTATCAACATTTTTGTTTTAAAAAATTCGACAAATACACAAGGAATAAAAGCTTAAATATTGATATTACTAAAGAACGCATAGATATTAAAAATAATTAAGAATATTACATTATTATTAATACCCAGATAATGCTATTTTGTCAATATATCCTTTACATATTCACTATCTACTATCTGAAGTAGAAATACCCTGAAATTTATTAAACTTAATATTTTACATAATTTATAAAAAATTAATGTGTTTTAAAAGTTTAAAGAAAAAGGTAATTACCTATATTTATTAATATAACATTATAAAATTATTGAATTAAAATATGTAAGCATTTACAAACATAAAAATATTGCATATTATAAAAATGGAAACGTTTTGTTTGGTATTAAAATAAATTTCATTTTTAATTTTCTGCAAATTTTGTGATTTTAAAGACAAATTTATAAAAGTTTATACAAATTTATTATATTATATGCGTATTATATTTATTATGATTAAATAATTATTAAGGTTTTTTTTTGTATTTACATTTTCTAAATAATTGTTACCTATTTCTATAAAATTATTATACTATGAAAATTACTATTTCATGGTTCTCTATAATCATGATAGTATAAAACTTATGTTTCGATGAGTAGAACGTCTGTTAAATTCAATGCAAATATAAATTTTTTTACAAGTTCATATTAATATTGTTATTATTTAATTACAAATAAATCATTATTATAATCGATTTCATGAGATATATTTAAAAATAACAAGTAAAAATAAAAATATAAAAAAATTCAATAATATATTATAGACAAGACTATGGAGAAAGACAAGGTCTACAAATAGATTTTCGTTGTGCAGAGGAACTGATGCTAATCGAAATTTCGATATTCAATGGGGATGTAAGTATTAATTGCTCTATTTAAAAAAACTAAAAAAATCAATTGGGAAAATGAAACAAAAAGTAGATAAGCATTAAGCTAATTTGATTTTAAAAGTTTTTTAAGCATCCAAATTTATATTTAAATTTTGAATATGTATTTAATAGTTCAAAATAATACTATTATTGTATTTAACTAGTACCATTGTGGTGTTTAAATATTGACGGAAAAATTAAATATAAACGTATTTAAAAATTTAATTTTATACTTCAGAATGTAAGAAATTATTTATTAAAAATATCTAAAATAATGGCAATAGATTTTTAGTCAAGTAGATGATTAAATACAATAATAAATAGAAAAAATGTTATCATTGTTTGAATAGTAATATTTAACAATACTGTGATAAGTATCATTCATAAATATATTGAATAAATAGCTTCTTTGCCATCTGTGATTTCCTTTGTATGTATATATATATATATAAATAAGAAGACGGCACTTCTGTTTAGCTTATTCTCGATAATTCTTTTATTGAGAATTAATATGCTCAACTGCATATATAGATATACGCTAACTCAGATATAATATCTAACTATTAAACAAAGAGATGACAAATGATTAATGCTATAGAATAAATTTATATTAATTTGAAAGACTAAAATAATTATTTCGAATCACTACAAATAATCAGTAACGAATAAAATAAGACATTAATGTACAGAAATCGAATATATATCGAAATACTTTATTATTAATAATTATAATTAGATATATTTTATTTTTATAATTGAATAAGCTTTTTGGCCAATATATTATATTTTAAAATTAATTGTCAAGAATCTTTTCTGCAAATCATCAATTTTTTTTGTTTTAGCGATGGCTAATTTACATTTAAAAATTTAGCTAAATAATTTCAATGGTCTAAAGAGAATTTAGTAATTTAGTTAGATTATACTTATACATGTACGCAAGCGCACAGAAAGAAAATAATAAAAAAATTGATAATATTTAAACCCTATTAAAATTGTTAAACTATTTTCATTTCTTTTTCTATGGCGTTTATTTCTTTATGCCCTTGTTCTTTCTTTTTTTATATAATAGTATTCAAATGAACTAATTATTCAAATTATAAATTAAGAATTATAAAATCTATTTCTTATAATACATGTGTAATATAAACAAAATTAAAATTTTGTACTTATTGGACAAATTTGATTAAAAATGTATTTTATTATATATACAAAAGTTAAAATTATTTTACAATTATTATTTTAGTTGTATAAAATAAGAAATAATCTGATCAAATATATAAAGTAATAATAAGTATCAACATTTAATATAAAACAAGTTTTAAGTATTATTATTAACAAAAAATAAAGGTTATAAATCTTTTAATAATATTAAACATGTTACTTATAATGATATTCTATAATTATTAAATAATATATATATATATATTATTAAATCTATATTATTAAATAAAATAAATAATTTTTTTGTAGATGGAGAGGCTTCAGTTGATCCATGTAGTGAAATTTATATTGGTAGAGAAGCATTCTCTGAAGCAGAAACCAAAGCTTTTAGAGATTTTGTTCTACCTCTTCAAGATAAAATCACGACTTATGTCAGTTTACACTCCTATGCAGGTGTAAGTATTTGATTATTCTGTTTTCATTAAGTACGATATAAAAAATAGTATTTATAAATGCATTTGAAAATAATTATATTTTTATCTGATTTAAGGCATATTACAATATATATGTAGTTTATTTCTTTCGAACCCTAATATTTTCGTATTCATCTTCATAGGGTGCAAATACAGAAGTCAAGCATTAGTTTATTATTATATCTCATTACAATTTATTTTAATTTCAAGTCAAGAATAAATTCCTAATATTGATTGCTTTGTAATTTTTATTCCTTATTCTATTTTCTTTTTTTCCATTGTTTTTTTTTTTTACTTTTTACTTATTTTAGTTTTTTCAATGTACAATTTAATTTGTTATTGAATTTATATTTACATTATTGAATATAACTTATATAATATTGCTAGATACGATGTCTAAAAAATAATGTCCTTATTCACATTTGTTTTCATTATTATCATAGTCACAGTTAATTAAAATCATTTTCTTATTTTGATAAAAATGGAAAAGTTTGTGTTTCATGAAAAATTATATTACATAATTTATTTCATTATTTGTAAAATAAACTTACTAACTCTTCGAACCCACTTTAGTACATTTAAGATCATTATAATGTTTTAATTTACCAAGATTATGTTTTCTCTTTCATATTTTCTTATGATTATCAATCCTATAGTAGATATCTTCTTACCTGTCAGTTTCAAAACATGTTTCTACTATTAAATCGGTTATTGATCTTAAATCGTCAATATTAAATAAACTTTGTTGCGATTATATTCTAACTCTTGTTGCAACACTGTGCATTAATATTATGTATATGCTGCCTTAATAATTATAATACAAACTGTTGATGTATGAAATACACATATAAGTTACGCGTTATTATAACACCACAAAAATTATAAGTATTAATTTCAAATTATAAATAGTCATCTAAAAATTAACAGATAATTTGAATGGAACAATAAACATTTATTTAAGCTATCATAAAATGACGGAAAAAAGTTTGGAGGTGATATATATATATATATATATATATATATATATATATATATATATTATAAGATAAAAATTAACTGACAATAGATTTCAATTATAATGAGGTATTATATTTAGCATATTATACAAAACCGATTTAAGGAGTTGAAATTGTTTATTTGATCTCTTTAATATTAGGTTAAGAATATAAGGACATAATAGACTATTAAGTAAGTGCATATACTATTACGTATAGTGAACTTGTTATCACATCAAAAACATACGACATCCAGAAATATCGCATAAAAGACATATGTATTTAGACTAATAGTATTGTATTTGAACTTTATTAACTCATTACACAAAGACCTTAAATGGTAGTGAAACATATAAACTATCATAAGTAGGAAATGTAATATATACGAAAGAATAGTTTTATTTATCGATTTTCAAAACCACAATACTACATGTAAAATATATAGCGAGATTTGTAAGAGTTTATAAAAAAGGCAAACATTTTTCATTTATTTGATAATATTCACGTAATGAATTTTTAAATTTATACACTGATTTCATATAATTAACTATTTTTTTAATTATCCACTTACGCATATAAATAGTCTTGGGTATTGGTGTGAGTAATGTGGATGTATATGAATGGACTACAAACATTTATTCGATAATATAAATTAATGAAAAATTTGCTGTCTCCTGTTTGTATTTTACTAAGAACATGTTTTCGAAATAGATTTAAAAGTACTATCAAAATGAATAAAAAAGTTATTAATGAAAATATCAAATAAGAGATTTTAGTGGTTATTAAACTCTTTTTACTTCAATTTAATTTTAAACACAATTTATTAAGCACGAAAGAGATTAACAAATTGTTTTATATCTCACAATGATCTTTAAAAGTATAGTAAGATTTAATTGCTTAACAATAACTTTATCACATAATTAATATATACTTCGTATTACTTTGAATATTTCACAATAAATTAATATAATTTTTCTTTTAGTTTATTCTTTATCCGTGGTCATTTACAAATATATCGCCACCAAATTTACGCAGATTGGTAAGTATATTTTTATGACATTTCTTGTAAAAATTATTATAGAGGTAAAAATAATTAACTATAATGTCAAGCATAAAGACTTCGTTAATAAAATTGGAAATTACAGTTGTAAATATAATCTAATTGCAGAATTGTGTCGCTAGGAGAGTACGGACTGCTATGGCTAGAGTATCAGGAATTACTTATCCAATTGGTAATAGTCATGACCTCCTGTGTAAGTATTAATAAAACTGTCTTTTCCTTTTAATAATTACAATATAGTATAGTATAGTACTAAAATGTATATATTTATAGATCCGACTTCAGGAGATAGTATGGATTGGGTAGCAGCTCATACTAGAATCAATTTATCATTTACAATTGAAATATCTGGAGGTGATTACGGCTTTTTACCAGGAATTCAGCACATAATTCCTACTGGCAACAAAATTTTTGAAGCCATTAAAGTTTTTGCACAGTCAGTCGATGGCCGGATATGTAACATAAATTAATTTTAATTTTGATTGTTATAAGATATAGAAGCTATAGAAATTCCAATCCTTTTTCAGACTTATCCATTTAAATTATTTCATAAAAAATTATTCAACCAACTAAAATGTTTGATAATATTATAATTTATATATTATAATTACAGTTTATTATCTGTATATTAGTGGTTATCCGAAAAAATTAATAGTTATATATATATATAAATTATATAAATATATATATATATATATGTGTGTGCGTGTGTGTGTGTAAATACATATATAAATACATATATAAATGCATTACTTGCAAGCATTTTATGTTAATATCATATTTGATTATGTGATAAGATAGGATAGTGTTCTGTATATCAATATTTGCCATCTATATAACCAAATAATTGTTGACGTCAGTCCTCAGTATACTATATTTATATAATGATTAATCTGAAAATGCGAAAAAGTAGCTGAGCTGTATTTGGCAGTTAGCTACCTATCCATATGTCCACTATAAATATCTAAAGAATTCAACTGCATTATTATATACTAAATATTACATAATACTATTATAATAAGATGTGATATACACTTTCTAACTAATAGGTATCATTGTAACTGTATATTTTAAATAAATTAAAATTTTATACTACTAATTTAAATATTAATTAAAATACATGTAAAGCATTGAATACACGACCAAAAATGTTATTATTTATATTTATTAAAATAAAGTTGATTGACTTTAATCATTTATCAAACTATATTCTTATTTGGAATTTGTGGTTATTTTCACTCGACATCTTAGACACCGTTTTTGTTGGCTGAAATATTTATACAAAAGAAGCGTTTTTCTTATTTATTTCCCATGCAGTAACATTACTTAATGTTCTATATTCTTTAATAAGAATTATTTCTTTTTTTAGCCATTTTGAATATTCAATATAGAAATTTTAAAAATGAATTCTGTTTGAAGGTGACATAGAAACTAAAAGCATTGCTGTCAATTAAACGAATACATTATCTGTAAGCAATTGTGAGAAGGAATATTTTCATATAATATATTTCCTTTTTCCTTAATAAATATTTATCTCTATTACTGCAGTTTTTACAGTCTAAAATTGTATTCAAATTTTTTTTTTGAAAGATTTTTACATATTTATATTTAATTATGATTTTGCTTTCATTATTCTTTTTTATTTCCTCTCTATTGAAAAACACATTGTAATATATCAAGTTTTCATCATTTATTCAATCATTTCAATAATGACTTTCTTGTAATATATTTAATGTTATATGATTTTTAATATATTTGAAAGTTATTTTTCAAAAATGTTCATATAAAATAAGAAATATTCAAATTTCTATTATGCATTATTGGAACATTGAAGTTCTTTTTCAAAATAATTCAAGATATTTTTTAATAATCAAGTAACATCATAACGTAAGATACGAGAATTATTTATATGCTGAAAAATTGAATGTCGCTATCATATTGTTAATGACTCATTAAATGCATACAACTAATTTAAATTAGTATAAAAATTAAATATTTATTTTTAATTTATTAATTCTAGTCTGAAAATATAAGATTCATTTAGATTAAACATTTTTTTTCTAATATCGAAATATATAATATATCAAATAGTAAATACATACATGTATGTAAGCGTATATACACATACCTATTTTAAATTCTTAATTTTGTTTATTATTTATTTATTCATTTAAATATTTTTGAGAGTTAACTCTGCAAAACTTAATATTGGCAAAACAGATTTTAACATTGATACATTAGATTATCATAATAAAACGATTGATCCCAATTTATTATATTGTGTCTGGCTGGGACGAATTGTCAAATATAATCATTGAATATAGTCAATCTCGTTTCTTGTTTGCAAATTGAATTCACAATAAATACACGCTTATTTAAATTTCTTTAATACAATTAATTAATAAAATATGTATGAATGATAAATAATTTTTGTATATTGTATTAGTATTTAGTTTTTGCTCCATTCGCTAAAGAAGACTTTGTTATGTAATAATATATTTTCATAGTTAATAAGTGTTAAATTTTTAATATATCTTATATTAAAGGATTAATATTTTTTGAGCAATAGATAAGGCACTGAAATTGTTTTTTTTGTAAACTCGTTTTTTTTTTGTAATATTATAATTATGTGATTTATTTTCTATTACTTTTATAATATATTTTATATAATATTTTCGTATGCCTCGCATGCTTATTTTTAGTAGTATACTCAAGTCCTAGATTTTAAGCTTACTTATGATTTAACTTTTATAATTTTGTTTACCATCTATTTATTTATTATTATAACAAATAATGATAAATATTTGTTATTAGTAATTTTATGTTATGAATAATAAAATGTATACTAGTAATGTTATAAGGCTATACATATTACTTTATATACAATACAATCGTTTATGGCATAGTTAATGGCGTTTTGTATCTGTAATAAAATAGCATTCAAACGTTACAGAGTAAACCCCAACCTTTTATTAATTATATTGCACAGTAAATAAATCTTGAATTTGTAAAGTTATTTATTGTTTATGTAATTTTTTGTTATATACTTTGTATGTTGCAGATTTACTTGACAATCCTGTTTAATCGTGGATAGTAGATTATATTGCGGTATTATTCGATACTAAAAATTTTACATATTCTTTTACTTAGTAATATTTAAAGCTGTTTTATATTTGTTCTGAAAATGCTCACGTTATTTCTCCTATGCAAATATATTTTATTAAAACCAATATGTTTTATGTAAAAACCTAATTTTATACGATAAGGATATATTGTATCCTTTTTAGTTTTTTTTTAATGTTTATAAAAATATTTTAATATTTTTTAAAATGAGTTTTATATTTGCCATGCATATATTATACGTTGTTAATTAATGGTATTTATATTTTAACTCTTATCAATCTTTTCACGTATTATACGAATTATTGGATTGTTCAATATTTCTTATCTTTACAAGAAATCATTAGACATGTTTTGTATATTTCATTAATAATCTTATGTTTCATTATAATTATATTTATTTTATAAGATGTATAGAATATTATTATTTTAAATTTGTACTCCACAATTTGTAACAGTAAATAACATTTTATGAAATACGAGTATTCTGTGAATTGTATTAATTTTATTAAGGTAAGCATTATATGATATAATATTTTGTTAATTGTTATTTCACATATATTTTTTGCTAAGAGTATTTCATTAATTCCGTATTTATTATATTTTTGTTTGACATAATTATTTTTTCAATTAATATCATGATACGTATTGTAAGTAATTTTATTGAAATTACCTTATACTTATTGTAGACAAGATATTGATTGAACAATGAATTGTTTAGAAATTTTTGAAAAAATGACAATATTACAGATATTTTATTGTAATTCATATTTATTTTTTGCTGAATTAACGAATATAGTTAGTTTTACACAATTTCTGTACATTTAGTTTTTCATATTCTTTTTCTATGTTTATTATTATAAATATTAAAAAGGTTTTATGTATGAATTTAAAACAGATTATATTTTATATTTTTTCAATTAAATATTTATTCAAAGTTTTGTCTTTGTTACGGTAGACAATGAGCCATATATTGTGTTTCAGAATCAAAGAATCTATTTATTTCTATATATCATTATTAACGAAAAAAATCCAAATTTCAGTATAGATGTTCATTAAAAATAATAGAGATTATTTAATAATTTCTTAATTCAATTAATATAAAGCCGATTATCTTTAAAAAGTATTTTATTATTAATAATGTTATTATTTATATACGAAATACATTTTATCATATATTTCTTTAAATTATATACTTTTTTCTTGTATTATGGTATATATTATGAAAAAACATTCAAACTCTGATAATATCCTAAATATATCTTATTATAATCGTAAATAAAAAACGATTTTTTTAAATAATTACTTTTATAGTTATTCCTACTTAAATACTTTTCAATTTATAGGCGATATACATGTGAAAGACTGTTTCCGTTATATTTACTAGTAACTTAAGAATAAATTTACTAAAAATTTGTATACTTAATATCAAATAAATTTTTTTGTATATTTACTTATTTTTTTATTCATAATTCTCTTTTCTATCTTTAATAATTATCTATGAAATTTTTTCTAATCATTACTACACATAATCCAGTCTTAAACTAGAATGGTTTTTAAAATTTATAATTAATTGCTTCTGACATTCATTTATTCACAAAATAGTATTACATTATATAAATTACATTATACTTATTGTATTAGTTAAAATGAAATTAATTATTGTGCATTTATATAAGATTGGATATCATTTTTTGTTTATCATAATTATTCGAATTTTATCATTTGATAAGCAACGTAGATGTAAATATTCAAATGAAATATTTAAATTAAGATGTAGATTATCGATTACATTGTATTCGATGCGATTGAACGAATGATTTTTATATAATTTTAATGATATATACATTTATATAGTTAATATAAATGCAATTCTTTATTGATTTTTCTATTATCTTTTCAAGTTGTAAATAATTATTAACTACCAAGCGACATAAACATTATAATTGATCTAATTAATAAGAACAATTTATTAACCATATTATTGTTTATCATACTCTCATAAAACTTTTATCTTTCACGTCAGCTTTTATCTTTCGAATAAAAGAGATCAGCATTCTTCGGAATTGTCACACAATATTAGGTCAACGCTTAATCTACTACGATTAATGATTACTGATTCGTGGTTACGTAGTTCAAATATATAAATTCTTTAGATTGTAGGTACGTGTTGTAAAAGTGCGTAGTGCGTAGAAATATGAAAGTACATCTAATAATTCTCCTATTTTTTAGTCTGTGCATTTGGACACAAGATGCAGCATATTTACCTTCTATTTATGGGTATGTCTTAAAATATAGTTACACTGATTTTTATATATTGAAAAATATTACAAAATTTCTTCTGAAAGTGTAATGACTTTTTATTGTTGTATATTATTATTGGCTAATAATTAATAAAATCAAGCAATTTTTTCTTAAAATTTATTTCTATTATACTTTCAAGAGCGATTTTGAATATATACTCTAATAAATTTGATATAGTATGAGTATTTATAACTTTGTAGAACGTGGATTATTTAATGATAATTTTACATAAAAAATTGTTCTATTATATTATTTTTAAAAAAAGAATCTATTATTTTTTAAATTTGTTTGGTTGGTTAAGCAAATCCTATTACAAATTATATAAAAATGCAGTATGTACTTTCATTTGTTTGCAATTTTTATAAATTAGAAAGAAAAATTTTATCAGCAAAAATAACCGCTATGCCTTCACAAAATAATATATAAAATAATAGTTTGAGTGATTATTTATTATTAAATTTACTATGAATATAAAATATCCATAAAATACATAATATTAATCAATTTATTAAAGCTGCCTAAAAAATATAAAATATTACTATATTATATTTATAATTAATTATAAATAATTAATTCGAATGTTTTTACTTTGAAATCAATTCATTATTTTAAACATTATTTATAATAAAACAGAAATTATAACGTGCCATAATTTTAATTTTCTAATTTTCTCTATTCCAACTATTTACGTGAATTAAATTATCATTTTCAATATGTATATATAAATTGAAAACATTTAAATGAGAAATATAAACGGTATTTAAAATTTTGAAAACATTATTACATGTACATTTTTTTACTTTTAATTTCAAAATTGTGAACTTCTAGGTTTAATTTTAGTACATCTTTTTTACTTATATAAATATAATAAGTTAATGCAATATAAATTATTTTACATTACATAAAATATGTTTTTATTTTAATTTTTACAAAAAATTTTATAAAATTATGTGTGTAATTGAAAAATAAGACTAATATTAACAACATTCCATTAATAATTGGATACCAAATGAATATTTTACTTCAATTAAAAAAATTTATTAGATTAGTTTATAAAATGTTTTAAAAAAATTATTTTAAATAAATAAAATTATTGTCAAATATTTCACACTATATATGGATTATTTATTTTGTAGTATGCAAGGTCTCAGAATATCGTGTGATACAGAATTGCAATTAAAGTATGTACGTAATTATGAAGGTAGTCTTGGTTTTGATTTTATTAAAATTCCTCGTGTACTACAAAAGCCCATTGAAGTATTGGTCGTAGCTGAAAAGCTACAATTGTTTAAAAATAATCTTATAGCAAATGGTATTAATTACGAAGTCTTTTTGGAAGATGTGGGTGCTCATATAGACAAACAATTTGCTCTGGAATATGATGAACGCATAGTAAACCCTAAAAACGAGATTTTGAAAACTTTTCCACTATATAATGAGGTAAACTAAATAAATATATATATAAAGGAGAAAGAAGAAAAAACTGCAAATTTATTATATTATATGTATTAAATACAGTAATTGAATAATTAAAAGGAAATAAGAATTAATCACCAAGTTTACATACTTGTGTTGAAATTTTAACATTTCTTTACATATTAAGAATTATGGAATCAAACATATTTTTAAATATAAAATCTAAACTCAAATCTTAGAATTATAAAGATTTGAAGAATAATAACAATGAATAGTTAACGAATTTATTATTAAATATATATTTATAAATATTATATATATATTATATATTTATAAATATTAAATATATATATTTATAAATATTTATTATTAAATATATATTAAAAATATATATTTGAACAAGGGTATATTCTAACTGGATATTATAAATTTTACCTTAAATAAAATTATATTTTACCATTGTGTATATGCTTAAATTCACCTTTGCGTTATACATTTATAGAACACTAAATATATTATTTATTACAAGCTATAAATAAGTTTTTTATATGCTTGTCTATCTTTTTTTATTGTGGTTTTTTTTATTCATTATACATTAAATTATTTGTCATATATCATATTTTATATCAATAATTGACATAAAATTTAGTTTACATCTGCATTTGTTTTTTTCTTTTTTGTTTGATACGTGAATACTATATTAAAAAAGAAGAAGAAGAAAAAAAATAATGAAAAAGAAAGAAAGTAGAAGAAAATTGAATTTTTAAGAAGTAATTTTTTATTTTATCCGAAAAGATATATGCTAAAAAATGCAAAATATTGGAGGGTTAAAAAGATTTAACTATTAAACATAAATCAATTCGTTTTTTTCAAATGTGTTTAGTTGGTTATATATATATATATATATATATATATATATATATATATAGCAAATACCCTAGACTTTTTTTATAATTATGTTTATTATTTGTCAATGACTTATATGTTTTTTAATTATATTTTACGTATTATCGTAAAATTGAAAGTTTTCGATAGAATTGTAATCAATTTTGAATACGAATTCCAAGTCTGTAAGCTTGTGATCACTTGCAAATCTTGACAATACCTATTTAATTATTAAAAAATTGTAGTTTTAAATGAATTATGATTACTAAATAAATGATATTTTTATATATTTTTCATGCATGTAAAAGATTATTTTATAATTTGTATTATTTGTATTGAAATTTGTGTAATACTAAAAATTTTCTGTATTTTCTGTAAATATATTGCTTACACGAATTTTAACATTATCGGCAAATTCTGAAAAATGTAGTTACATAATTTTATTACAGGCATATCTGTACTTATACCTATAAGAAAATTATCCTTATTAAATGATTTTTGTTACAATACAATTATATTTTCAGATTACATTATACCTTGAAAGCCTTCAAAATTCTCACAGTGATATTTTACAGACATTCACTATCGGCAAAAGTTTTGAAAATAGAGATATTATAGGTGTAAAAATTTCAAGCGGTGGTTCTGGAAAACCTGCATTATTCATTGATGCCGGTATACATGCTCGTGAGTGGATTGCCCCAACTACTGCTATATATGCAATAAAACAGCTTGCAGAAAATGCAAGTAACAGCTATATTTTTGATAATATTGATATCTACATTGTTCCGTGTCTTAATCCTGATGGCTATGAATTTACGCACAGGAACTCTGCGGTACGTACAATTTGATTTAAGTCTGAGAATATTAGTATATTACATACGTTATGTAAACTTAGAATGTTGTATTAACTGATTTGATTTTATAAAAATACTATTAAATTCTATAATATTATTTTAATAATTAAATGTTAATTTTTCAATAATTAGAATTTTTTATTTTATTATTAAATTTGAAGAAATTTAGTATAATTCAAAATTCTGTTAAGTAATTAGAAATTATTAGTGCACTGTTTTTATAATTTGCAATTATTTTTTTCTAATACAATTCATTATTACATACGAATTATAATAATATTATATTTATTTATTCAATTATTTAGAACCGAATGTGGAGAAAAACACGATCTACTAAAAAATTCTCTCCATGTGTTGGAGTTGACGCAAACCGAAATTTTGATTTCGAATGGATGAGTAAGTTTTAATCTTATTTTAAAATAAAATGTACATGAAATACATACATACGCATAGTCATATATAAAGTAATTTTTAAATAGATATAATTAAAGAAAGAGATGTAAATTTATAATTCGCTTTTGTAAAAATTTAAGCGTAGCATTTTATTTTAGCTGTTGGTGCATCTTCTAATCCATGCAGTGAAACATATGCCGGTGTTACAGCATTTTCCGAACCGGAAACTTCTGCCTTGAGAGATTTTCTTTTATCAAAGAACAATACAATCAAAGTTTATATTACATTCCACTCATATGGCAATGTACGTAAATTAAAAATATATTATTATAGGATTCATAGAATAACTTTTGATCAAGATACTTCTTGAATTTTTGGAATCAAATATAAATGTAGAAGAATAAATTATTCTGAGTTTGTAATAAAAATTGGAGTATTGTAATTTTACTTACATTCATTGACAATGATACTTCAATAAAATTACGTGTATATTATATGAAAAATAATAATTGTATATACATAAAATATTTCAAAATTTCAGTTTCTACTACATCCATGGGGTTACACTGAAGAATTACCAACAAACGAACCAACACTTGTGAGAATTTAAAATTTTAAATTGATTTATAATATATATAAATACTAAGTTCAAAACATTCATGAGCTTTAATTCTACCTCTTTGTAGAGATGTGTTGCTGACAAAGCAGAGAATAAACTTTCTCAAAAGCGTGGAACACATTATGAGATTGGTAGTTCTACTAATGTTTTGTGTAAGAGTCATAAAATTTACTATTAAAATAAATTATAATAACGAATTGCAAAATATATTTTAAATACACAATTTATAAAGCAATTTATATAATTAATAGACATTAATTAGAATTTATTATATTAAATTTTTAAAAGAAATTATTTTTAATATGTCTTTCTATATAATTGTAAAATATTAAACAAATATTATCTTAATTTTTTTAATTTCACCTCGTTGTCCTGTTAAATTATTAAAGAGTATCTTATTCATATTTGAAAAATATCTATATATACATATATATATATATATATATATATATATATATATATATATATATTGATGCATAATATACATATCTAGTTTCTACATAAGTAAAATTTTTAAAGTTGAATATTGCTTTTCTTAATTAATAAATTATATACATTTAAAAGCTTAAAAAGGTTTTACGTGTATAAATTTTATTTATTATTGTTTCGATACGTAATATTTTTAAATTTTCTATTTAATAACTATTATATTATTTTATTATTAATTAATATATCTAATTATAGATGCAGCTGCAGGCGGTAGTGATGATTGGGCAATGGGTGTTGCTGGTATTGAGTTGGCTTACACCATGGAATTACCTAGTCAAAGGTACGGATTTGCTGCACCACGCAGTGAGATCATTCCTGTTGGTCAAGAAACTTTTGAAGCTATTAAAATTTTCGCAAAATATGTGGAGGGCGTAAAATGTCAAGATCTTTAAATTTCATAAAGCTGTAATATACGATTGGAATAGTTTGTATATTCCTCTACTTTTTATTTTTATGACACAGTATAAAAAAAAAATGAAAATATAAATAAAAACCTTGTAATCACTTTCATAGTAAAACAATTAATATAAATTCTGATTGGTTTTAATATATTTATAATTACATTAAATTTATGAAGTCCGGGTATTTCAATTTTTTTAGCTTTTAAAACTTTTTCTTTTCATACTTATATAATAATTTATTACATTAAGAAATAAAACAAGTTTTCATTGATGTTATTGCAAAAAATATAGTTATAAATATAAATTTAGATTTACATTATAATAGCTATAAATATTATTTGATCTTGAGCCTTAGTTTCCCCTAATTTTTTTTTTATTTATTTTTATATTTATTTCCATGTATGCTCATAAATATCATGTATAATCTCATACATTACATCTTACATCTTTTAAGATAGACGGTTCTATGGTCTTTCAGATCCTAATATTATAATTTATTTTACATCTATCACAGCGTATTTAGTTTATATTTACTTTGTACATGTAAAGACTTTTTAAATATTTAATATTATGTTTAAGATTTTATAATGAGCTTGTTTATGTAATTAATAAGTCAATTGTTGAAGTCGAATTCAGAACTATTTTAAAGATCTAAGCGAGCTTAAATATGTTAATAGAACGTGCTTGTAAAGTAAACTAAATTTGTATAAATGAGACATATTATTTTTTTATTTGCAGTTAATTCAATAGAAATTTGGATTTTTAGTTTCTCTTGCTAGATACTGCAGTTCTGCATAGGTATTATAATTTTATGTTATATAATCTAATTGTTTTATTTTATAATTGTTTATAATAATGTTATGCAAGAATGCAGTAGTTCAATGTCATTTCTATACCGCAATTTAGAAGATTATATAAAGTGATAATGAATGGTATTAACTTTTATTTATTACGTAGGATAAAAAATTATTTTTTAAAAAATGTGAATAATTTCCGTTTGAGTTTGGGAATTTAATTTAGAACATATAAACGATTTCCACATACTTCAAGATAATTTAAGTCGCATTAAATGCTCACATGAGATGTCTTTCTGCTTAGAAGCTCCGTTAATATTCGTTTAGTATTACCACTAATTGACTTTACAGAAATTAATGAATAATCAATTATAAATAATGCATTCATTCAACAAATAATAAAAAAAAATAATTAAGTATAAAATAATAAGTTGTACAAGGTATCTGTTAAATTAAAACTATACAAACATTTTCCTAACAAAAGAAAGTAAACTATCTAAAACAATTAATTAAAAATTAATAACTATATAATCACAAGATAAAAATTTACAATAATAAATATGCATATTTTTTAATTGTACTTAATGATAATTAAATAAGAAATGTGCATACCGACAGAAGAAAGAAAATAAGAATAGTCTAAAATTGATATGAGTTTTATTGTTGTCGGGTTATTACAATAGATGTGAAAAAAAATTTCAAATTATGAAAATCATCAGAAATTCGTACATTATAAATAAAGCAAAGATACTACATGTATTGATGTACCTTAGAAAAGGATATATAAATTAAACTAATCGAGACTCGTTAATCGCAGCTATTATGAAATTGACGTTTCAACACACTTAGAAATTAGAATTTAAAAATATAAATTTATTGATAATTGTATGTAAGGGAAAATTTTTTACCCCAAAACCAATAAATAAATTATACGGTAAACGAACGAAAATACCTTTATTGTATATTACTATATCTATTAGCATTTCTCAGATATTATTGAAATACGATTGTATGTATTATTATATTTACAAGAATTAAAAATAAGTAAAAAAATGTTTGATAGATTGTGAGACAATTATGGTTATTTATTAATATGTCGGGATGTTGATAGATATTTCAGATATTTTATAGATTCTAGTATATGTTTCAGATGATTTCAGTAGGTTAGTCTTTGAAGCTCGCAAATAATAATTAATTTCATCTAATAAATCTGAATTTACAAATTGAAAATATTAGGCATTAGTCGTTAAGTTTGTAAGTAGTTTTATTCTAAGTAGAGTTTTGCAATATGTGTTTCCTTATTCTTATTTTAAATTTGGATTATGAGATAGTGATTTATCTTTATTAAATCGAGGAAGTAGGAAAAATTAAAATTAAATATAAACTCTTTTGGATCACTGTCGACGAGGATCTTTATTCTAAAAATAACGATGAAGAATTACAAAATAGGAAAAAGCTTATTGGTTCTTTTTTAAGTAATAAAGACGGAAGAAGTATAGTATAGTATAGCATGAAAAGGTATTTTTTAACGTTTGCTGCAGAGTACGTCAATCATGATTCGGTCAATCATAAATCTCCACATTCTTCTTAATAGCTAACAATTATTTTACACAAAACAATTAATTTGAAAACTCTATTATAAATATACTTTGGAGCTTATATTTATAATAAATTAAATAATTATGTTTTTTAATAAAATTATTATTTATTTTGAAACTGTATTTTATTGATTTTAATAATACTTTAAAATATTAATTTTATTAATATATTTTGGCAGGTATGAATTTAGAATATAAATCTATAAATCCAAAGTGCAAAAAAAGATTAAATACAATTTAAAAATTAAAAAACTTATGTTGATGAAATTTTTGAAATTAAATCATGTACATAAGCAATAACAAAAACTTAAATTTAATTTAAATAAATGAGTCTAACTTTTGTATAAATAAAATTTCACAATAACTAGTTTCACTGTTACTAAAATTATCTAAAGTTAAAAATAATAAAGAATATTTCATTAAATATATATAGTTGAATAACTACATAAATTTTATACAACTTTCAATTTTCATTACACAGTGATAGTCAAAATTTAATATTACAATGATTATTTGAAAAATCGTTATTTTTTAGTGCAAAATAAAATGTTATTATTTGAATAAAAAATTCCTAATTTAAATGCTGATTTTAATTAGAGAACTATAACAAAGTATGGATAATTTAATTTCAATAAAAATAATTAAAAATTTATAATTAATTATTAAAAAAATAAATTTTTAAAATAAATATTTCAAAACCAAATATGCATTTTCTCTCAATATATGCTTGAATAGAATATTAAAATGTTGAATGTTATTAATCGTTGACTAATATATTTAGAAATATAATAACATAATTTTTTAGTACTAGTAAAATATAATCATATTATTTGTTTGTACTAGTAAAATATAATCTATTATTTATTTCTTTTCCTATATATCATGACTAAAAATATAAAATTGCTCGTAGATGCATAAAAATACATTTTATTATTTTTGACATGAAAGTATATTATGAAAAAGCATTCATAATCGTTAAATAATTAAGTATCAGAAAATATATTATTTTTTGTTTGAACATTTCTGTAGCTTATTTTAATCTTAGAACAAATTAATTTACGGTATATTTCATGTTCTAAAGTTTTTTCTCAAATTCATAATTATACATAATGTTTTATGACACGCATAATATATAAAATAAATTAGAGTTGCTAATTTATAATTATTATTAGATTTTATTAATATAAAATTAATATTAATAGTATTTATATGGTATGAACAGAACTTTTTTCTTGTTTTTCAGGAGTAAAAAATGTAGAAGATGTTATTTATATAATTAAATATATTGTCCGTATTACATTTCGTAAATAATACAAATAATAATTAAATTAATTTATATATATATATATATATATATATATATATATATGTAATATGTAATTTAGTGCTTGAAATTGTTAACTGTAATAACTATAAATACAGGATTAGTAAATTAATATTTTATTTGAAACAATGATAATAATAAAAATATTTTTTATAGTTCATATAATTTTAAATTTTAAAAATAATCATATCTTTTTTTCTTAAATATTCTGTATTAAATTTTATACTTTATTAAATCAAATACTAACTAACCAGAATAAAATTTTTTATAAATTTTGTATAATATTATATTATAGTATTATAATTTATATTGAGCCAGTTTCATAGTAATTTTGAAAATATATAATCAATTTTTTATTTTATAAATTTATCTTTTGATTTAAAATATTCAGAACTATGAAACTTTTATAGTATTTTACATACTTAAGCAATTTATTTTGGCTTGTTACAGTTTTACATATTATGAGATATAATTTTAATCACTTAATATTATCCTTTCTCTTTTAAAGGTTCCAATATATTTTTTATAAGTATAATTATTCATAGTATAGACGAAACGACAAATATAATAAATAAACTATTTCTTTGGGATACATTAAAAAAAGGAACGGCATCTTTATGTTTTTTTAAATATTTACATTTACATCATCATTTGTTCTTTTTTTTATATTTTTAAACAATGAAATATATCAAAATTTTATATTGATATAATTAATAATTTCTAGGATGTATTAACTATATGCCAATATATTATATTGCCCATTAAAATAAGTAATTTTTTTATGATGAATTAAAACAATATTGGCTATGAAAATTCAGAAAATACAGAATTTTTAATTTAAAAAGTGAATGCAATAATTTTATAATTAACATATTTTACTGTAATTTTTATGAAAATAAATATATTCACATTATATAATAAATAAATACAATTTATGTTAGATATATATGATTTACTTCAAAACAAATGAAATTTATAATCATATATTCACATTTTTCTATATATAATTCAATGTATAAACTAAACTAAAGATATTTTCCAAATAAATTAAAATTTTATTGATTGAAAGGGATAGAACAATAATGGAAATTCGAAATTGTAATAGAGAATAAATAATCTTCTTATAATTCAATTATATTTTATTTTTTAAAACAAATCAATAGATTTGTTGATACGTAATTAAAAGTGCAGTAGCAAATTAGTAATGTATGTAAGTGTATCAGATTTTAGAATTCCAATAAATTTTTAGATTTTCATATATTCGTGCAATTAGTTATTTACAGACTTTAGGTTGACCCATAATGTATCGGTCGATATGTCTCATTGATGGCGTAGTCACACAGACACACACACACACACACACACATATATATATATATATATATACGTATTTGCATTTATTTTGCTGTATTTACTGCTTCTTCCTTTGATTATCAACATGTACTGAACTAAACTTTAAAGAACTATAAGTTTATTCCTTTGCAGAAATAGAGCCGTTAGTTAGAGGTGTATGAAGGTCTTCGCTTGAATTACTTAATGATTTGTTTATACTAGCATTCAGCTCAACAGTAGATTCCTGTGAATCAAAATAATAATGAAAATTTTTAATACGTCAAATTACAAAATCTCAATTAAAAATTACTATTACTATATGTACTATATTTCTAATTAAATATCTTAATTCACTGTAAAATAATTGATTCCTTCCTATAAAAAAACACGATTCTGAACAATGTATATTAATTATAACATTATTTTGTTTATTAATATACCTTTTTCATATTTTTAATATCAGTTAAAATTTTCGTTAGAAAAAATTTACATGAAATTGCTTCATAAATAATTTTCATTTATTTATTTCAATTTACATGTGAATCGAACAAAAAAGAATTTTAACTTTTTATTTTTACTGTAATGAAATTAACAATATAATCATTTTTATTATCTATTGATAGAATGTTAAAGAAATAATCATAAACAGAACCAGATTAAAGACATAATTTTTTTTTTTTTTTAAATATGTTACCGATGACCAATATACGATTAAGGAAGAAGAAAATATTTTATGTTTGTTAAAAATGTTTATTGTTTTAATGACTAAAATAATAAATAATTCTGAAATAACATACTTATATATTGTAACGCATATGTGAATAATATATATAATGAAAAAATGAAAATAAAATCTATTCTGTTCTATTCATTATTAAAGCTAAAATAAAAATACAGTTTTAATTTACAAATATGATCAAATATAACAGAAACTATACTCGGTATAAAAAGAAGATAAAACCTATCTAAAGTGACAATCAAAATAATGACTCAGAATTTAAAGAAATATTAATACAAGACGAAGCAAAAGTATCTCTGCATTAGCATGGCTGATTTGCAAAGTAATTAATAGTATCTTACAATATCGCTAACATGTTCATGCGTATTTAGACAAAGACAATTTGTAATATTTATTTATTAGCATATAAAAAAATTTTTGATTGACATAGAAGGAAAAACTCTGAGATGAAGAAATTTTTTTAATCAAACATAAAAAATTCAGTAATTTTAGTTTGTTTAGTTGATTTATGAAAAGTTGTTGACTGATGGAGATAGATAGTATACATTTATATCAAAATCGCTTATGAATATTATAATGTTTGTAGGAAGAAATCAGTATGGAGTTAATAAGGTTTTATAGTGTGACATATTTGTTTTATTAAAATTAATTTTGCTTACAATAGCGATAGGATGACAATTAAAATGTGGTTGACTAGAATTTTTATCCTTTACAATGAGCTCATCACAGTCTTCGTGATTCGATCCATTTAGCTCTGATCGAATTTTAATAGGTGATAAAGCGTTTTCATTATCAGTTGATTTCCCACTATCTGGTGATGGTGGCACATGACTATCTAGTTCCTCCTCTTCTATATGCTCAACTTCTGATTCCTTATTCTCCTGAAAAGAATCACTTTCTTTATGTTCATTTCTATACTTCCTCAATAATATTAAATTTACAATATAAATTTTTTTTAATTTGTCGATAGAGCCATATTTTTATAATAAATTGTAAATAATTTTTAAAAATCAACATAAACTTAAATAAAATTGAAATTTGTTTTCAATCATCTATAATTATAGATAACCTTTTTAATGTTTTGATAACTAATATATATTATATTTATTGACGTTAGCATATCTTTGATATACCGTTTTTAGGTTAAATATAAAAAAATAATTTATTACAAAATAAATTTTTTTTTTACTGTAAAAATTATAATTAATTGTATTATATATTATGCATTTAATTTGTAGAAATAACAAATATTAATGTTTAGATTAAGTTTCTAGAAAAATAGTTTTAAAAAGTAAGCGTTTTGATAAGGCGTAAGCACGTATTAATTGTATAATATTAATTAAAATCTATTATAAAGTATATTAATAATTAAATAATAAAAGTAAAATTTAAAAAATATAATTTTATATATTTAATAAGGAAAAGAAAAATCACATACAATAATATGGTTATACGAAGCAAATAATACATATTACAGGCAAAAAATATATATTATAATGATCACACTGTATAAACATTGATAAAATTATTCTTAACTATATTTAATTAGTTAATTAGTATTTTAATTTATCTTATACTATATGAATTAGAAATATTATGTTATGCGAAAAGGAACAAAGAAATTATTTCAATTAAAAAAAAATTACTGATATTTTAATACTTATTTCATATAGATAAGTGAATTAAATTGTAGACTAGCTTTTATGAATAAAAATACTGTAATTTTTCAAGGTTTAAAATGTAAATTATATTATTTTACGCTTTAAATATAATTTAAAAATTATAGAAAAAACTATTGACAGTGCAGAAATTATATAAAACCACTAATTATATTACATATTATTCATATTTATAAATTAATTATAATTGTAATGTAAATTAAATCTTAGATTTTATTATTAAAAAAAGTGTGATAATTTTACATATTTATTCTACAGTTTAGTAACTATTGGTATTGTATCAAACGTTCGTTAATAACTTTAAATGTAAGATAAGGGTATATAAATATACTATGTTCAAACTTTTTACTTTATAGTTACAATCAACTCGGTTAGATTTAACTATTGGATTTTGGATGTGAAGTTGTATTTTTGCTAATTGCCAATTTTTATATCTTACAGATAGAATGTTCCATTAATCTGTTGGTATATATTCAGATTTTTTGTAGAACAAACAGTTGACAAGAGAAAAATGAATGTCATTTTCTGTCTTCTGTTTGCTCGTATTGGTAACTCGTTACTTTTTTGTTGTTTGCTTTTGCATAAAATCTGAATCGTATTTGATGTATCGTTTGAATTTATTTATTTTATAAAATATATTTTTATTTTTATGAAAAATAAGTTATTTTTATCTTTAACTGTTTTGTAAATAAATATTAAATTTAAAATCTAATAAATGTGTGTGTCTTGAATTAGAGTATATTTTTACAATTATGATGAAAGTTTAATACAAATTTCTAAAATTATTTAACCCTAAATTAATTTTGCACACATTAATTTTAACATTATTTGTACGCATATACTAGATAAAAATAAGAACTTTTAGTTTGTACAAAAATTTTTATTTATGGTTAACGATATAAAATAAAAAGAAAGATTTCTAATATACACGTAATGATTTTAGCCATCAAGCTTTTTGAAAACTGTAATATATGGGGATTCAGAGACAAAGGTGTCTATCAATGATAAAAATATAGAATAATTATTCAATTACAAATAACAAATAATTATAATACTATTTTCACTGTCAGTTTACAGAGAAGATTTGTAAATATTCAAATTATTTTTTTTCTTCACAAAAATATATTAATACGATTCTTATCTTAGAGAGTAATGAAAGAATGATCACATAATTTTTTATATTTCTCGCTTAAACATTTTTACAAGAATTTTAAGATAATTTTAATAAGCTTAATTATAAATATATATGTTATGTATAATTATGTTATGTTATAAATATATTATGTTTTATTCATATTAGTTTTAACTGTTGAAAAAAGCTTTTAAATTTCATAATAAAATTATTCCTAACATCTAACCTGATCTTGTGAAATAGGTGATCCTGAAGATTCAGTATTATTTTGGCTTAAATTTCGTGAATATGTTGTATCTGACTTGGAGCCTAGTTCATAAATATTAATCATATGGACTGCCTGAGCATGAACCATTAGTTCCCATGCAGATGCAAAAGCATCCTTACATAAGACACACAGTAATACAGTTGTTGAATTTCCTGTTATAAAAAAAAATAAAAAACAACGAATCAGAGAATAATATAGAAATAAAAGTGATATTGAAGTATCATAATATAAATTTTAGTAAAATACCTAATGTATTGTATATATTTTAATTATGCCCTCTATAATTAAAAACTAATTTTGTATTTGTATTAAAATATATAACTTATGCATATATAGCATATATAACTATAAATTATCTGTATATATTATTGTTTAATAGTGACATATGAATGATACAAATATTATTAAAAACGGAAAAAATTGTGACAAAAAAACTAAAATATGATATCAAAATTTCATTTATTTAATTTTTTAACTCACTTTTAACAAAATATATTTATTCGTTAATGTTAAATATTTAATTTATTGTGTTTAATTAATATTTAATTAATATTATATTATGTAGGTATCAATGTTTCGAAATATTTATAGAAACATTAAATATTTTATTCAAGGGTTACTTTTTTCATTCTTATTGAAATATAATTTATTATACTTAAGCCGTTTTTATTACAAGTTTACGATAAAATTTAATGAGAATGTGGGTTATAATATGCGATATCTTAAATAAAATGAATTTTTAAGTATAACAATATAAAAAACTATAAGAAATCTTTAATTTAGTTCATTTGAGAGGTACTTAGAGAAACAGAAAATAAGTGATAGGATAGAGGTTTCGAGTGCTAGGTAGTTTTTACACACTAATGGTTCATTACATACGTACTTGAAGTGGTACCATTGAATGTGTGACATTTACAAGTAAACCGCAGCTTGCAGTATTCTCGCTTATGTTCAAATAGCTCTCCGAGATCCGTGAACATTTCTCGACAATTGCCGCAAATTAGTATGTCGGGATTGCCTGAAAAGGTCATTGAGAGTTAGCATTGAAAGTTTATTCCTACCATTTTATAATTTATTTAATAATTTTGATGATAATTGAGATGAAATGTTTAAAATCTATGAACCATTTGTCGTAGGAAGATTGTGATAAGATGTGCAATTTCTATCTTAGAATCTTTAATTCTAATAATATATATAGGTATGCAAATACATAATAGTAAAATCAATTTAATGTATGTTTAAATGATCTACTTAAATATACTAATAAATTTTTATTATGAAAATATTTTTAATACTCTTATTAAATTTATAATATGATATTTATACATAATACGATATTTTTACACAACTGCTTAAAATAAGAAAATAATAATTATTGCTGCAATAAAAATATTATTAATTCTTGAAAAAATTAAACAGTTATTGATTGTATAAAATTTTTATTATAATTAAAAGTTTAATAAATTACATGTATTATCATAGTTTTCCTGTAAAAAATAGTTCATAGATTTTAAATATTTATGTATATATATATATATATATATATATACGCATTATTTATACTTCATTGCATACATTTATTTTTATAACGTTATATCTGAAAATTATTATTTTAATAAGCTATCAGAAATTAATGAATTATTAAATTATATATAAAAGAAAAAAATTTATGAAATAAAAATATTATTCTGATGTGACTTTTCATTACAGACTAGAAGAATTATTCTTCTATATATATATATATATATATATATATATATATATATATATATATATACACACCAAACCTCTGGTAGATTGATGCTTATTTCTGTAAACAGGGATAGTAATAGTAAAACTCACTGTAAACTTTTAATTGGCCAAAGTCCTGTATAGTATTGATTGAGACTTTCGATTGCTTAGAATATAGTTGATATAGCTGTTGTTGTTGTTGTTGCTGCTGCTGTTGTTGTTGTTGTTGCTGTTGAGAACGTGTAGTCGGCATCAGTCGCGGTCTTTTCAGTGGAGGTACCGAACGCGAAGGAAAAGCCGTGGATGTGCAGTAGCTATAATTAAAATAAATAATAATTTTGAATAAGCATAATTAAAATTTGATAATGTAAGTAGCAGTATTTTATCTTACAAGGATATACAAATTCTCATTGATATTGCATCTTTTAGAAAGTATCTCGTTTATCGAGTGAATAATATTAATTTATATATTAATTAGTCTAACTAAATAAATTTATAATTAATATTATTATTGCGTTAAAAATATTTAATACGTTCACACTTTCGTGAATCATTTTGTTTACAAAATGATGTTACTCTATTTATTTTTAATATTTTATCATAAATTAAATATATTATTGTAACTGTATATATGTTATTATTTATTATTAATGAATAAAATAATTATATATAAAAATGTACTCGTCTAGATTGCATATAATTTTTTATTAAATTAAATATCTTTTAGTATAAATTATATTTTAATATAAATTAAGAATTTATACTACATATGTATAGTAGCTGTAAAGCATTATAATACCTAAATATAAAACTTATCGGTAATATTTTATTCTAAAGTTTAAATAAAAATATAATCTATTTTATATATCATTTTTCTTAGTCGAAAGTTTCTAGAGAATAAACTAAAATATTTTTCAAATCTATTTCATCAACCAATTTTTTTACAATAATGTCTTAAAGAGTCACAATAATCGAACAAAATAAAAATATTAAAAATAATATTAAATTATAATTCTAAAAATATTCATGTGAATTTTACGGTAATGATGTGGAAAATAGATTTTAACTTTTTATTACTTAACGTATATAAAGCTTAGGCATGATTGCGTCTCAAATATTTTCTTTTTTCATTATTATATAATAAATTTAAAGAATAAAGTTATCTATTATTATGCTATTAAATAGATACAAAATTATTTAATAATGTAATCAATTTAATACTTCAACATGAGTTGGTTCAAATTCTTGTCTCTGTTAGTAATTCAAACCGTCTACTATCTAATATATAAGTTTATTTTATTTTTAAATCATGTAATCAGTAATTAAATATATTAATATATAATCGTAAATACTTTTCTATTATCATTAGTATTAGCATAAAAAAACCGATATTCGGTTTGTATTTGGAAAATTTTTAAGAAACATTAAAGAAAAAACAGATGTTATTTTACTGAAAAAATATCGTCAATATATTATTGCTAATCTTGACAATGGTTGATAATAAGCATCGGTGTAAGTTTAAATGTCATCTTATAATTGAATATAATAGATTTTTAATTAAACTAAAATTATTGTAATTTAATCGAATTATATTTGGTAAGGTACAATTAACATAATTGCCGATCTAAAATATTATCAAATGAATTTATAATTTAAATATGTAAATTAAAATTTATTTTATGTTTAAAAGATAGTAATATATTTATTCTTTCAAAAGCTTGATTTCACAATTTCTAGATAACTAATATTTATAAAATATATTAAATCTTAACACATTTTAGTTATAGTTTATAAAAATTATATAAAAAAAAAAGTTTCGTAAAAGATTGAGCTATTTATTATATTTTGTATTAAAGGAAAACTTTAAATTCAATTCTGATAAATTATGTCAATTATAAATAATTATATTTATATATTATTAGGGATAGAATATAGAGTCTCAAATATAAACTATTTTTTATACGATATAATGAGATATTTTAATATTTAAATTAAAATCTGAAATAGAGGCGATGTTCTTTATTAGATTTTTTAAATATTGTTTATAACAACAATATAATTAAAATTTATTGTAATAGCATTTAAAATTAATTGATAATTTGAAGTTTATGTACTACGAAAAAGAATTTGTCTTATTCTTAGAATTTATTAAGCATAAAAAATATAATATAACTGTAATTCAAAATTTGATTTAATTAATTTCTGTAATCCTTTAATTAAATTATTAATTATTTCATTTCTATAGATAATTTTTATATTTCAAAAACTTTAAATCAAATTTGTTTCTACTTAGTACATGTTTTATGTCTTAATGCATTGTTTTAGTTCTATGCCTAAGTATATGTCTGTTGATAAATTTAAGAAGAAATTTTGTTATGAAAAAATAGAACACTACTTATAAATTCTTTTCCTAAATTACATTTATAATTTATAAATATAACGAACATTTCTTATACACAAATATTTGTTTTACATAATAAGAAATTAATGTACACCGTTAGTTGTTCTGTTTGTAGATTTTTTACTTTGTATATTATTAAGGTTTACATGATTTAACATTAAACAATTCTTCTGTACGCAAATTAATTTGTATATATATATAGTATTGGAAAAATGAGTAATATGCCCATTGCTAAAAAACAGACTATCAAAATGAAGTTGAATCAGAAAGAAAAATATAAAGGGAATAAATTGATCCGTCAATCAAACAGTTAAACTTTTTTCTTTGGTACAAGAACTGCAGTGAAAAATCTATTATTTTGTAATTATTTATGGTTTTAGGGGAGACGTAATACTGGTTTGAAATGAATATGCAAATTCCAATAAGAATTAAAAAATAAAATTTTCTGCGGCTTATTCAATAAGACATATAAATGACTATATTGATATAAAAGGATTTACAAAAAAATTTACTAAAAATATATTTTGTTCAGTATTTTAATGGAATTTAATTTAATTTAAATATTTTTATTCGTTAATGGATTTTTGAATATATACATACATATATCAACTAAATTTTTACTAATATTTACTGAATATATAAATGCACATATAGTTTTTACAGAGTAAAAAAATGTTATTAATTGAAAATTTAATAATTTTATATTTAATAAAATTTATTCTTACGCATAAATATTAAATTTTTTTACACATTATAATAAAAATATATTATAAGTATGTAATTGTAATGTGAATTTTTAATTTTAATTTACAAATAATCTATTGAATATTGATAGAAAAAAAGTTATTCAAAAATTTTAAATGAAATTTATTAAGCTAATTCTTTATTTATGTTTAATTTTTGATAGCAATTACCATAATATTTAAATATACATTTTTAATATAATTAAAATTAATGAAGTTTATTTATCAATAATACACTATTTATTAAAATTATTTATAAAATTAATAATAGTCATATTTTATTAAATATTTTATCATCCTTAAAATAAAATGAAACCAACAAGAAAAGAGGAAAGGAATGTGCAATCGAATTGAAATAAATTTGTATAATATATAATTAAATATCTTAGCCGATTTATGATTCGATAAAGCAAATTCAATAATAGTATATTTATACAAATTATTCCTCATTGTTTTATTAATGATAACAATTTTAATACAACACATATACATGCGCGCGTGCGAACGCAAGCACATGTGCACACATGCACACAGGCACACACACTTTAGTTTGAATTATTTAGTAGAGTTATTTAGTTGAACTATTTAGTTCAATATGAAGTATGGTAATATATTTGCAGTAAGTGATGTAAGTGATAATGATCCATTATCAGAGTTGAAGTTTATAGATTACTACTTATAAATATGCAAGAAATTTTCAGTCTTTATTTTATTAACAAAAGGATGAAAGAAGAATAATAAGTTTAAGTATTTGTATATACACGAAACTGCGGCAAGGAAAGGAGACATTTTTCGTTTTTTGATGAGAAACGTGACTTATACAGGATACTTATGTATTGAGGAATGTGTAGAGCTAGGGAGCATGATGTATATGTACAATTAAATAAATCGCATACGTATTTACTTGATATGTATATTGTATAAATGCTGTGCTTCATTCTCTTACATAATACAGTGAAAATGACTAATGATAAATTGTTTTTGGTAGATTCGTCTGTTACATGACAAAATATATTGATAATGAGTTTTAAACAATAATAATCATATTATTATTGCTATACAAATGTTTTATCATTGTATTAAAATATTAATATATATTATTAAAATAAAACGAAAAACTGTAATATCAAATTACATGTATTTAATTTTATAGAATTTTCAAGAAGTATACTTTTAAATTACATATTTAATTTCATAATAAAATAATTTTTTGTATAGTTAAAATTTTTTATAAAGATTTCTTAAACAATTTCTAATATTCATTAACTCAAGAATAAAAAAACAATCATAAGAGCTCAAATAGCCGAAGATATCGTATATAATAATAGCAGAAATATATATATATATATATGTTCTTTGAGATTTATTACAAATATATTATTGTTATGAAAAACTAATTAATGTCTTTAAAAAGAAGTTTCTGTCAAATTTATTAATATTGTAAATAATAAAAACGTTTCGTTTTTCAAAAAAATTTCGTTCAATACATTGGCTATACTAATCTCATTATTCTATGATTAAATTAATTTTAATTTGTTAATTTTAATGTTTATATTTTAATATATTGGATTCTATAATTCATGTAAAATATCATTTTCTTAAATTGATTTCAATTGCATTGTCTTGTCAAATTTAGTTAATAATAAAAAAATATCATACATTTTAATTTTAAAGGATAATTTTATTTTTAATAACATTATAAAGTTAATATTGCTTTTAAATACTGCTTTTAAAAGTCAAGATGTTTAATAATTGTTATTCTTTATTATTAATATATTCATAAATTTTCATTAATAAATTGAATTTATATAAAATTGTATATTTTAATTTAATTTTCATAATAGATTTCTAATTGTTGTGTATTATTTGAAATATATTTTAAAAACGATTGTGATTTTAGAAAGCGTTTATATAAGTTTAGGAAAATTTCTGCAGCAACAGCAAGCTTGAGCTTGATTTAATCGCTGACCTGTCAGACACTGCGTAATATGGACTTTTGGTGGTAGGCAACGAAACTGGAAGGAAGTCGCGAAGGAGATAATGGCAGTTCCATGAAAGTTTTGCTAAATGAGAGATACTTCGATGTTGGTATTGATTTGTCCCTGTAACATGCATTGAAATAATATGAATATTAATATTTGTCGTCTATTATTCAACATTTTTATTCGGCTTATTTTTTTATTAATCAACTTCTGTTCTTCTTTATTTGATTTACTGATATTAAGATAATGACTAATATTAAGAAATTAAGAAACTTTTCATTTTTGTTAATGTTTGTACTTATAATTGTTACATTCATAATTTCATCATAAGTGAGTTAAAATATAAATTATTAATAAAAAATTTAATAAAACTTGGTTTGCTATATATATATATATATATATATATATATAAATTAATTTTTTAAATTTGTATTAATGACTTTTATCATGATAAAATGCCTATACTTAATCATTTTCCTATATAAGGGTTAACGAAATATTGTTGAAAGTAGAAATAGCTATTTCTCATTTGGTAATACATTCATTATATTATTTAATTAGATCTTAGTAATTAGAAAATTTTAAACATTTTTACATAATAATATTATTAAGTATACAAATTTTTAATTATTTATTTGTTAGTGCATTTAATATATATAAGAATAAGAAAACGAATTGTTATTTTATAATGTACCAAGTTGTAATTGTTAACGTTAATAAATACAAATAGTTATTGCAATTATTCATTTGATTTCCTGCTATTATTTATATCTTTTTTTTTTGGTAAATAAATGTATAATTTGAAATAAGAAAATAGTAGCACCAAAATACTTGGATATACATGAGTTGATACATAATACGAAAGATATAAGTATCTCTAAACTAGTTATTATACCATGGAACAGGATATGAACAAGACACTAAAGACAAAGAAACTCAAGATTGTTAAGGTATTCAATAATGGAAAAACGACCAAACGAATGATGCACATAAAAAAAGATAATTTGAGAATGTTTAACTTTTAATTATTTGGCATTACTATTTTAATTTACAAAAAAAGTTTTTATACTTTATCTCAATAATGTCTTGTTAATTATTTCGGAAAAAGGGACTATTACAAAAAATCACGTATATACAATATAAATGATGTATAACATTTTTATAAAAGTAAAGTATATTTTTTAACAAATACAATTTTTACATTTGCTTTTTATAATACTATAAAGAGAAAAATATATGTAAATTATTGATATTAATATTATTATTTTTTTATTATTTTGTATTTTCATTATTGGCATAAGTTGATGGGAATTTTCAGTATAGATTGAAATAATTATAATGTTAATATTTTAATGAAAATAAATTCAATTTTTAATTGTATCAAACATATTTAAATATTTAAATATTTATAAGATATAATATTTTACAAAGCCGTTAAGAGAAGAGAAAAGAAATTAAGGAATTTAATTAAATCTAATATTTATAATTTACATATCATATATTTTTTTATACGGTTTTTATATTTATAATACTAACATATTTAAAATAGTTGAGTCTTAATTGATAATACCGTTAAGTAACGGACAGAATTCCGAAAAATAGCATTGTTAATATATTACTTTTAACGATTAGTTTTGTAAATTTACGAATTGCTATTTATTATTTTATATTTAAAATAAATTTCAAAATATATTATAAATGTATTTTCTCTCAAATGCAATTGATATAAGTGATACAAGATTAAATTTAATCATTTAATACATACCGGCATTACTTTGTTTATTCCTTCTTCTATAAGTTTTTTTAATAAGGACGCGAGTACAATCATTCTCATGCTAATCCCGACCAAATCTACTTACCTTTGTTGAGGGATATAAATAGATTGTTGTTGATCAACAATATATGATGATTAGCTAAATGTGTTTAGCATTATCCGTTATATTACTGATCTTACCTTATATATACAAATCAGATTTTCTTGATATACTAATAAATAAACAAAAATATATTTAACATTAAAAGTTAGATATAAGATTATTATAAATGTATTGTTAACACATAAGTGTAAAGAAGATTTTCAAAGGAATGTTTTCATTGCAATACTTTTTTATTTTATTGTTTCGTACTAATTGTATTTATTAGAATCATCTTCCAAAGAATATTGGGATAGATCCAAAAGATATTACGATCTCAATTTTATAACAGTAACATTTAACTTAAATATTGACTAATTTCTGGAAGTAAATTAGTTTAAAACATTGGATCATTTGACAATTGGATGCATGATGTTTACGGCGGAAGTCAAAAGGTCTGATAAATATATTTAAAAAAAATATATATTCTCTTAATATATATATATATGAGAGCGTAGACATTAGTTCCTTACATTCTTTTTTTCTGGATTACAAAGTAATGGCAGATTATCGGATACGGGTACTAGGAATAACAGTATATGCTCTTAAGTAGTACAACTTAAATCAAATTCGATTGCACAACCAAAATTTATGTGACCTAAGTATTTAGATAGCCAATTTTCAATAGTAAAATAAAACACTTATTTGTTACGATAAATTTTTATATAAAACATAAAGAATATAAATAAGAAAAACAAAGATTATAACTGAATAAATAAAACGATGACAACTGAATAAGTATTTATGTAAAAAACTTTAATAAAAGAGTATGTAAAATTCAAATTATGTGTATGTTTGTGTGTTGTATCTAAGAAAGAGAGAGTGTGAGAGAGATATATACAAAAAAGAGAAAGATAAATTTTTCCTATATAAATTTAAAAATTTATATTTACTCAGTATTATTGTATTCAATAAATAAATTTTGTAGAATATAATATTTAATACTCTTTCCTTCTGTTTCATTTTAATTTCATATTTTATGCCTAATTCAAAAAAAAATTATAAAAGATAATAAAATATTCATTTGAAATAAAGCAGGTATTATTAAAAGAAGCAATACTGCAATAATTTGTTAAATTAAAAAGAAAAAATTAAAAATTAAAAATCAAAGCTATATTATTTTTATCGCAATAAAAATTTAATTTTATATACGTATGTATAAGTAAGGATGAATAAGCTATCCAATTATAGCATAAATATTATATTAAAATAAATTTCTTCTTAAATTACAGTTCCCCATTAATTATTATAAATCGGCTAAAATGCGTAATATTGTAAATGTGGGGAAGTCTATTTTTAAGACATTATTATAAAAAAATACCAATTTATAAATAAATATTAATATATAAATTTATTATTTTCCAAAAGTGTTTGAAACATTTTGACGAAATACATTGAAAATAATAGCACAAATTACAAAAACATAATTTGCAATATATAATGTTTAAGATTTCTATTTATGATTTCGAATTAATATTTAAGTATCACTACAATAAAATCTTACTATTGAATGTTTGTTATAATAATAGTTATAATTTTAAAAGTAATATGCATTTGAATTACAAGATAACACAAAATTTTTAAGCAAGTAAACAAGAGCGTGATGACATAAATATCTCTGTTTGTGTTTCCTAATTATTAAAATCATTTTTGCATTTAGTTGAAGTGTAAAAATATTTAATATATTTATTTACTTCATTTTTCTTTTATTAGATGGTTGCACTTCTTTGTTTTCATCTCCAATAATTTTGATCGATTTTTGTCATTAACAGCAATAAAATTTCTTAAAAATATATTTTCTTGTTATTCTTATTTGCTCATTTATTCCATTTTTATATTTTATTTTTCCTGTATAATTTTCTTAATTCGATATAAATGTTATTCGTTAAATATTAATGAACGGGATATTGTCATTATAATTAAAACTTTGATAATCTATTTAAAGAAATAATCTCTATTGGTTTACATCTATATAATATTTATGGTCTTTATTATTGTATTTAGTTATCAATTTTCTTATATTTATAATTCACCATTGTATTTATAAAATAATGACCTTTACTGTATTTATAGAATGTAAGATTTTATTTTCAATATGTTTTTTAATGAAAAAGAATTTAAATAATTTTTAAGTGAATTTTAAAAATGTTTTATATTTTTTATAAGCATTAAAATTTCTTTTATGCGTAATAACTATTTACAATGTAATAAATAAATCAAAAGAACTTTACTATATTTATTATACATATCAATTTTGAATTTTATAAGAATAGTAAAATAACTTTTTTTCTTATATTTTTAATCAATGTGATTAAACTAGTTAATTAACTGTGAAGGAATACTATTAAATAAAGTAAAAGTAAAATTTTTGTAGTTGTTACAGAATGTAAAAAAGTATATTTTATTATTAATAATATTATTGATATTAATGTCAATATTATTTAATGTAAATAAAATATTAAAAAAAAATTTAATTATCTGATATAATTTCTAATTCAAGTTTAATTGTTAATCCAATCGATGCTATTTTTTTATTTTTATATTGCTTTTATCATGTAAGATATCAAAATGTAATGATTGAAATGAACAATAGAATTATTATAAGTTATAACATCTTATAATTTAAAATAATAAATAATCTACAAATATAATTAATATGTACATATATAATATATATGTGCTGTTAAATTTCAATATTCTAAATAAGATTTTTAATTGTTATGGAATTATTTAAAAAGATTATTCCTATAGTTTTGTACAAGTGAAAGAAGATCGGAACAATAAATTTATTAAACGATTATTCTTATGTACTTGAACTTTTAGTCTTATTAATGCTGTACTATTTCAGTATGAATATAATTTTCGATCTAATTAAAATATAATAGTTTGAGTTTTAAATATTACTTACCGAACTCAATGCAAAGCTTTTAGTGATACTTCAATTTATTTTATTCAACTTACCTATCGTAGTAATAATCCCTGCAAAAGAAAAATATTTGAATAATAAAAATATAAATAATTTCATTAAAATGACATTGTAAAATTAGTTAGTAAGTTTTTAATAATAATATATATTTATATAACTTAAATTTTGTTATGAAAGTCATGTATCTAATTGAATGTTTTGTTAGTAAATAAATCATTACTAAAATATACATTTGAAATAAAATTAGAATATACGCGTGGTACATATTGTATAAAAAAAAAAACAAATTTTATATTATTGTTTCACACATTAAAATTTCGGAGATTACAATCAAGAATTTACAACGGCAATTTTTGTATTAATCTCACTCTTTGTTCATTAATTTCATTTAAATTATATATGTAAACATTTTAGCATATACATAAATTTATTCAAAGAAGAACAACATACACATTTATTTAAAAACTGATATTATGGAACTATAACATAAATTATTTTAAATCCAACATTTCAAAATTAAAAATAAGAATCATATTTATGGTAGTATATTATAGAATTGATGTATTTATATTTATATGATGATTATATTTATATATATGAAAAGAAATAATATTCCTTAAATAATTTTTCGAAGTTCCATTTATTAATAAATATATCAGAAATAGAGAAATAGTAGAAATAGAGTAATAAATAGTAACTTCTTTCCAGCCTAATATTTATGTATATACTTTTACATATATAATAAAGAGGATTTTAAATTATGGCAATCTTATTTAATACGAGTTTTATATATATAAATAAATATTAGGCTAGAAAAAAATTATGAAGTAATTTATTTCTGATATTCAAACTATTCTCATTTAAATATACAATTTATAAATATTGATATAACATTACTTTAAACAGTATTCGTGTTTATTATTTTTCTTAATTGTAATACATTTTTTAAAGAAAAATAATTATAAATAAGTTATTTAAATCATGACAATATGATAAATATAATTTAAAATGCAATTATTAATAATTTATTTCCAGATTAATATAAAATTGAATAGTTTTTTGTTGTAAAAAAATAATATTCCAATAATTTTGAAATATTGTATATTTAAATTAATTATAATTGTGTAAAAAAATATTTAAAATAACAAAAAAATATTGTATTCTGTAATATTATAAAATTTGATTTAGAATAATATAGATTCGCGTATTATATTAAATAAGTGGATAAAATGATATAGAAGAAAATACTGAATAAATTTGCAACTCTTGCTCAAAAACAAGAGTAAAATTCTGCGTACGAGACCTGCTTTAAAATAAGTATAACAATTGATGTTAGCTGGAAGAACGTGATATACAATAATACAAATTTAAATAAAAAGAGTATGAAAACGTAAGAAGTGGAATGTTGTAAAAAATAAATATTATTTATATTGAATACAATGGATAGAGCTGAAAAATAAATCATTAATAATGATAAATGGAAAATGTATAAATAAACAATGTATAAATAGAAAAATAAGAATAAAGTCGAAAAGTATGTGGAATGAGAATGAAAGAGGGAGACAAAAAAATAACCATACAGCAAATAAAGAAATATTGAAAAATATTTAAAAATAATCAGTTATATGAAATGAAGAGACATCACATTAATGACAAGCAAGAGTAGATATAAAAATATTCACATATACTGGATAATATATTATAGTTAAAAATTTTAAGTAAAATTAAAAGTAAATTTTTCAAAAGATTATTTGAATTTTTATTTTAAAAAGTTCTAAGCGAAAGTTAATAAAACTACTTTAATAGATTCTAGAATTGAGATGTTATCAGATATGTGACTTAGCGTGAGAATGCAATCCGGAATTTCAATTGAAACGGCGCAATTTTGTTTCAAGATGAAGGAATACTTTTTTATAGGGAAATCTATACTTCTTCGAATTTTCTACATGTTATAATGTAAAGTGTATATATTATAAATACATATATAGATAATAAAAATTAATTGCTCCAAGAAAATGTTAAATATTTTTAATGTTATTTGAAATCATTAAATATGTAATATATCAATATAGAATAATATAATTTAGTAAAAATTATTTATTAAATCTTAGAAACTCGTTTATTATTTGTGACTATTTATAATATTTAAATAATTAGTTTTATATTGTTACCCACACAGATGCTTGCACATTCACACCTATACAAAGAAATACACATATATATATATATATATAATGAGATTGTGATATGACTATGAATGTATTTATTTATCAATATATAATGTTTTTATTCAACCTAAAATTTGAATTAATTTTATATTTGAAATTTTAATTTAAATTAGTTACTTTTGAAATAAATTAATAAAAAATAAAACAATAAAGTACAGATAAAGACTGAATTTGCTGAAATTATCGATCTCCAATGATTTATTCTAACCATGTAAAAAAATAGTTTCGCACTCGATGTACAATTTAAAAATGTAAATATACTAATTAAATTGGTGATTATTTTATATTTATCTTTTGTTATAATTTTTGGATTATATTCCTTAATAAGCTATTTTTTTTATTAAATTTATTAACAAGTGGTGAAAGCCATAAATTATTGAAATTACTTTAACAACTGCGAGTATTAAAAAAAGTAAACGAAAAGGCTAATTTTACACATATAAAGTTATAGAAGAAGTGAAATATTGAAGCACAGTAAAGGCAATAGTCAGTGTTTACGTTTCTATTATTATTTCAAAGAAAATATTTAAATATAAACTGTTCGATGAAATTAGAAAGAGATTGTCAATCAAAAATATCATCTGGTAATGTTGCCGTCATCAATAACGCAACATCTTATTTTCGCTATATCATATGCATAAATTACTAAACTCAATATAAGATTTAACGTAAATTTGATGTAGTCAATTTCAGACACAATGCAGCATATGATATACTGACTGTGAATATCGACTTGATACTGTGTTTAAACTACAATAAAGTTCGTCATCATGGATGCCAATAAGCTTATAATTAGTATCGATTATTTGTAAAGCTATACTTTACGAATTTACTTACGAAAGGACTCGCTGATATTTAAATTAACTGTTCAACATAACCAATTTTTATTGAAAGAAATAACATAAGATTAAAAATGGCAACACCATACTATTAAATTCTTACTAAATTTCTATATATTATAACATCTTAAATATTAAATCTTTTCCGAATAATGCAATTACAGCATAGGTTTATTGTAAGCTACTCGATTTATGTTCAACTATACACTATTACATAATTAAGAATGAAACACTAATAGATATAGAAATATCATCTATCAAAATAAAATTATTTTACCTAATGTTATTCTTTCGTTAATTTTTGGCAGATCTCTGTCTAAAAGATCAAATATTGTGCTTTTGATTGAGTAATATACAGTGTCTAGTAAATGATAATTATTATATTGATATGTGTAATGATTTCGTTACAAACTGATGTTTGGCCAAATTTGTTTATATATTCATTGCTCATAGTTTTCAAAACATTTATTAGATAAGCTACAGGAATAGTTCATAATAATATAATTCACAAAACAAAAAATTTATAGTTTAGTAATGATAATAATATGCCTGAATGGATGTTGTAATAATATTAGTATTAATTACAATTTAAACAGTTTTAGTTTACATGAAAAGTTTTTGATTATTATGATATAAGGTGGCGATAAATTCATACAAATTTTGAAAATAAAACTATTTTTTTTAACATTTTTGACAACGATGAAAAATCGATATCTGCTATTTTTCACTATGTGTACTATAAATCAATATCTGTAAAAATATATAACTCAATTGTATTTATTTATTTTTAATTATATAATTGTACTCTGTGTACAACCATTTTTCGATGTAGGCAGTGTTTCGTAGCTTAACACAATTTCGAATGATTCGATATGATATGATATGATGTATATATACACATTATTAGAAATGTTAAATCATTGATGACAATGATCTATTTGTATTTCAGTACAAATAATTGTAATACTTAAAGTTAAGTAAAAACAAAATGATTAACGTTATTTGATGTCATTATTTCTCTATTCACAACTGTTGCGGTGTATATTTAAATAAAAGTTAAAAATTTTAATTCATATAAAGAAATTTACTTATAATTACTAGTATATCTTTTTATCAAATATCTATAAAGACTCTTATTCGGTGTCATACACTATGTTTACTATTAAAGTACCAAATAATTTATAAAGGCATATATATACAATAAGTATTTAAATGTATTAGACATATGATGTTTAATGAAATAAAAAAACTATACCAAGTCCTTCATCTACAAAAAAAAATTTGTTAGACTTATTACTATATAAGGCTCAATTTGCAATAGATTTAATGGTAATTAGATATATTAACTGATTTAATAATAATATAAAAATTATTGAGAAATTTAAACCAGTAAATATATTAAAATAATGTAATTTAAATTGAATTTTAATTAAGAAACATATGAAATATATATTTTAAAAATATTAATTCATATATAAATTTTAAAATAATATGTATACTATTTCTAATTCAATTTATATTTCTGGTATTCGTTTGGATAGTCTGTAGGATTCTATATTGAATTATGCACATTTAAAAAATCCAATAAGGGTAGATTCCCAATGCGCATGTCTCAAAAAATCTTTTTATCTCCATTATCTGTGAATATTACGAATTTTTGTCGATGCATTCAAAATAATTTTCTAATTCATATCTAAAATTAAAGTAAACGTACACATCAAATCACGATAGGAGCAAAATTACTGTAAATATATATATATATATATATATATATATATATATGTTATACAAAAGTCTATATGATATATAAATCTCCACATATAAAAAATTAGATAAAGTGAAAAATCATTTACTTATATATTTACTTATATAGCATGATTATATTCAAGTTTAAATAAATAAATTTATTTTTCAATCGAATTTAATTCAATCTAGGATCCCTTTTCCTTCCTCATTCTTTTCAACCCTTCTCTATCTTTCACTATTACCATATATATATATATATATATATATATATATATATATATATA